CTTCACCCGATACAGGTACAGCCAAACTTGCGAGCCCGTCGTGATCTCATGTCGCGTCGCGTTTTCAGTTTGTCGACGCGCTCTCTCTTCGACGGCCTCTCGGACTAACTTCAACGCCTGTGCCCTTGCCACCTTGTAGTGTCGCTGGATACGGAGCCTTCACCGCCTCGCCTCGGCGTCCCGGGTCGACGTGTTCCCGACGGCCAGCGTCGCTTCCAGCGTCGACCGAGGATCCCAGCCGCGCACTAAGAAGAAAGAGGTTTTATTCCTCGTCCGGTCGTGCGACGTGTTTAGCGCGAAGGTAAGACGCTCGGCGTATTCGTCCCAGTCGCGTTGGTCGACGTCCGCGATGTACATCTTGATCGCTCCTGTAACCGTCTGCACCATCCGTTCTGCAGCACCGTTGGCTTGGGGACGATAAGCAAGCGTCGCTCGCTGTCTCTGACCCATGAGTTTGCTGAACGCCTTGAAGAAGTCGGACATGAAGCCCGGCTCGCGGTCGTGGCGGATAGCCTCGCTCGCGCCGAAGCGCCCGAACACCGCCTCCGCGTACGCCTCGGCCACCGTCTGCGCGGTTCGTGATGCATTCGCTTTGACCACGACGAACCCCGTGAAGAGGTCGACCCAGACTAACAGCTCTGTGTTGCCTTTGTAGGATGCCGGCAACGACGGAATATGGTCCATGGCAATGACCTGGAACGGGTACGTCGCGACGATATTGCCCGGCGACTCGCCCTGGATGGTCGGCCGACCCTTTCCCATCTCGCAGTCGGTGCATTCGCCGACGTAGCGTTGGACGCTTCTAAAGATCCCTGGCCAATGGAAGTGGCTCCTCACGCGTTGGTACGTGCGGCCAATACCCTGGTGTCCGCCTTCCAGGCTCGCGTGATAGTGGTGGAGTACATCTTCCCGAAGAGTCTCCGGGATCACCAGCTTCATCATCACATCGCGATCCTCGGCGGAATCGTCGCCTCCCGGTTGGTAGTAGAGTAGCCCGCCTTCGCCCTCTTCGTACTGAGGCGCAAACTTTTGGCAGTTCTTCAGATAGGTCTCCGACGTCGCCGCGGAGATACTTCTTGAGGTTGACGATCCAGACCTCTTCGTCCTGGGCGACGCGGATGCGGTCCAGGCGTAGTCGTTGCACCACCAGCTCCTCCAGGACTTCTGGAGGTCGGACCCTACGTGTTGTCGTGCGTGCGGCAGCCGAGCGCGTCGTCACCGCGAGGACTTGTGCAGTCCCGCGTCCCGCGTCCATGGCCTTCCCGGCGGGGTCATCTGCGCCGCGCGTTTTCGCGTCGCGATTTTCTGCGTCGCGATTTTCCGAGTCGAGGTTTTCCGAGTCGAGGTTTTCCGCGTCGAGATTATCCGCGTCGGGACTGGCTGGAGACGCCCTCTCGGGACTCGAAGCCCGTGGACGGATGACTTCTTCCAAACGATTCAGCGTCTTCAGATCTTGAATCTCTTCGGGGCTGTGCGCGTTGCGGCCTCCTTGACGCTGCAGAGCTTGTCCAGCCAGCATGTCGGCACTCGCGTTCCAGTCTCGTCGTACGTGGAAGAGTTCGTGGCGCGGCCATGCCTGGAGTGCATTTCGCGTCTTTTGTCGCAGCAGCTTCAGCCCCGGGGACTTGCAGTCCATCTCGTCCCGCATCTGCCTGATGACAAGGTTGGAGTCTCCGCATACGACGAGTCGGGTGACGTCGTCGAGTTCCTCTAGAAGAGAACATCCGAGCAGCAGCCCGCGGTATTCCGCCTCGTTGATCGTGAGGTCCGTCGCATATCCCGACGCGGCGCGCACGATCTCCCAGTTCGGCAGCTGCCAAATGACGGCACTGTATGCTCCGCCTTCTCGCTTCGCCTTGGCCGATCCGTCAAAGCTCAAAACGTGCAAGGCCTCGTCGTGCGCCACGTCGGGGACTGGAATGACTACAATCCTGGACGCCCGTCTCCGTGGGGCGATCTCTTCTAGCGCCGCGTCGACGAAGGCTCGCGGGGTAATGCTCGCGGCCAGCGCGCCGAGGAGTTCTTCTTCTCCCTTCATGGATCAGCAGATTTCCAACTTCCACGGCGAGAGGATCGCGGCCCACTGTGACAGTCGCCCCTGTAGTCCTTTGGACCGGAACAACCAGGCGAGTGTCGTGTGACGTGTCAAGACGTGGACTGGTCTCCCTCCTAGCATCGTGTAGCACTCGTTTAAGACGCGCAACAGGGCCAAGATCTCCTTTTCGACGATGTCGTAGTTCAGCTCGTTGGGCTTCAACGTACGACTAGTGAACTTCACAGGCATGTACACTTCGTCGTGGAGCTGCGTGAGCACCCCTGAGATCGCCCAGTCGCTGGCGTACACGATCACGACGGATTCTCGGTTCGCGTCGAAGTGTTTCAACATTGGGGTCTCGGCGTGTTTTGCCTTGAGCGCGTCGAAGGCGCGCGTCGCGTGCGTCCACTTCTCATGCCCGCGGACTTCTGGACGCGTGACGTACTCGTTGAAGTCGGTCTCCGTCAGCGAATACAGCGCGGTTGCATACACCGCAAAGTCTGCAATGAACCGGTGGTAGTAATTGAGGCTACCCAAGAACGATTGCAGGCCCTTGAGCGTGCGCGGGAACTCGAGCGACGTCAGCGACTCCAGATTCTTCGGCTTCGCCACGAGACCGAGTCCTGAGACTCGGTGGCCCAGGTAGTCGGTCGACCTTGGACATGCCCCACTCGCTCTTCTCGACACTGATGGACAAGTGTTACTGCTCGCAGACATCCAGCAAGCGTTCGACCTTCTCGCACAGGTCGTCCCACGACGTGCCCCCGATGAGGATGTCGTCGATGTACGACCTCCGTCCCAGAATGGAGTGAATACCTGGCTTCACCGGTTCGCCGTCTTCAAAGACGTCCCGAGTGCTGCCATCCGGGGACAGCTTCATGAACCCGTAGAGCGCGTTGTCGATCAAGCGTTGGTAAATCTGCGGCGCGTTGCACAGGCCGAACGGCATACGCAGCCATTCGTACAGTCCCAACGGCGTGATGAAGGCTGAGATGAGTCGGGCCCGGTCTGTCATGGGGACGACCCAGCAGCCGCTCGCCATGTCGAGGGAGCAGTACCACAGATACTTGTCCAAGTCTTCGAGCAAGTCGTTGACGAGCGGCATGGGGTAAATTATCAACTTTGTCAGCCCGTTGATGAGCCTGTAGTCAATGCAAAGCCGGATATCGACGCCGTTCTTCTTTATGATCACGACAATGGGCGACGCCCACGGCGGCTTCGACTTCTGGATCATCCTCGCGCTCAGCAGCCCTTTGATCAAGTCGGCGACCTTCTCTCGAAACTGCGGCGGGATTTTCCGGACGCGTTGCGCGACGGGTTTTGCGTCGCCCACGTCGATGTCGCAGACAACACCCAGGGCGGCCGGCGGCAAGGCGTGGCCTTTGCCGATCAACCACTTCCGTCGCTTCCAGATGATTTGGCGTAGCCGCGTTTCTTGTCTCGCGGCTTCCTCGGGCGGGAGTCCAGTCGGTATGCCGACCTTCAAAGTCCTCGATCTTCACCTTGGCGGTCAGCGAGAGGTCTGGCAGCACTGCCATCTCAGACTCGAGATCCTCTACGAAGAGGTCGGACCCCTCGTGGATGAGGACCGCGTCGTCTTTCTCCTGCTCATCAGGTTTCGCCTCGTCGAAATTCGGCTCGGCGGGGTTTGGTCCGTCGAGTTTTGGCTCGTCGAGTTTTGGCTCAGCGAGTTCCGACTCCGGCGATTCATCCATCGCAGCGCTTCCAGCCACAGTCGGAGGCATATCGGGTTCGCTTTCCACCGCCCCTCGTCCGTATCCGGCTTGTGGTCGTCGGGTGGGAAGTCTACCCCCCTTCCCTTCGGCGCTTCCGCGACAGCCGCCAACACTGGGGCCACGGCGCGTCGCGTCCCGAGTTGTCTCGGCTCCGGGCGCAAGATGGCTTTAGGCGTCGGGTATGAGGGGCGATCCGTCATCGGTACGTCGAGCTCGGCTGGGATCCAGTTCTCCTCCGCGTCGCGCGTCGCGCCGCACGCCAGATTCTGCCACTGCTGGTACCGGGTGGAGCCCAGTCGGACGAATCCACGGTTCCGAGGCTGGCCGTCAGACGGCGTTCACCACCCAAGCGTTTCATGCGCATCGAGGGTTATCGCTGCGTCTCCGATGTTCGAGACACGCAGGCACGTTTTCTTTCCTACTCTCCCCTTGACAAAGGTAGTCACCCACGACTCTGCCCGTATCACCCACAGGAACGGCGCGTTTCGATCCGGCCTCAGCAAGACTTCATGCGTGTCTCCTGGTTCGAGCCTCACAGGCGTCTTGACGTTGATCGAGTGCATCCGTGCGCCGTATAGCGGTCTTCGTCCGATCATCTGGATATGCACCTCGTCGGGGAGGCACGCCGTGCCGTCCGCAGTGTCGATGCGCACTCCAGCGGGCACCATGAAGTTCATTCCCAGCGTGTTGGCCGACGAAGTCGCCGACCCATAGGTGCATGTAGTACACCAAGTTCCCAGCCAAGGTAATCTTGACTATGGTTCTCCCCACCGTGTAATATGTCTCATCACGAATTCCCACACACTCTTGCGTGATCTCCGTGTCAATCAGGCAGCCTACCTCACGAGCAAAGGTGGTGTCCAGGATGGACACCTCGGCACCTGTGTCGAGCAATAACACAGCACGGCGGTTGTTCAGCTTTTCATGAATCTTGGCCTGCTTGTACCACTTGTGCGGCGCGTAATGTTTCCAGTATCCGCGTCGCTCTCCTGGTTGCAAGTCGATCTCGTCCAGGGGTGGTTCACGTGCAAACTCGTCGTCCGTCGTACGTCGGCCCGCCGAGATTCGCGGCGCGCGTTCTTGCGTGGTACGTTCCGGGTTGGATTCAGATGTATTATCATTCAGGGAAGTCGGGCTCTCACTAACCACCTCTCGCGACTTCTTGGTCACATATGCATAGACGGAAACAGGTCGCTCGTCTCGTACTGGTTTCCAAGCCAGCGAGCGTCCTAGTTTAACATCTTCTCGGCGGCCAGCGGCAGCATTCCCACGTGTTTATTCGGGTCGAACCACTGGCGCAATTGGTTGAAGAACTCCTCCATCGGGCATTCTCCGGCTTCGTGCACGTCACCGCAGGCCTTGCACACCCTCAAGCATCGATCCGTCGGGTGCTGGCCACCACACTTGTGACACGTCAACAACTTCCAGCAGTCTCCTTCGACCTGGCGACGTAAACCACAGTGGCGGCACCGCGGGCGGTCGCGTCCCGAGTCGTCGGGATCGACGTTGCGACGCGCCGGCTCTCCCGGCGGGGCCTGTCCCGCGACGAACAACTTGGCGCGTTCTTCGTCCGCCTCGTCTTGGTCGTACTGGCGATCGTCGCTGTCGCGACTTTCGCGTTCCGAGTCGTACTCGTCCGACGCGACGTGAATCGCATGCACGGCACGCGCCGGCTGAGTCGGCGGGGTCGGCGCCTTTTGGCGGAACTTGTTCGAGCCGAAGAGAGTCTTTTTTCTGGTGAGCCAATCCGCGTTGTCGGGCACGCTGCTTCTTCTCCAGCGCCTCGGAGTCGGCGACCTCCATCAGCGTGAGACGCGAGGCGAGTTCGGCCTCCTGCATGTTCAGCGTCCGGATGAAATGCTCGACGTGTTCGCGCTTCTCTTCAGTCGTGCCCTCGGCGTATGAGATGTTGGCCCTCAAGCCCGCGACGTTGAGCCGGTACAAGTAATCCAGAGGGGTCTCGTCGGGGCGCTGAGCCGCATGGTAGTAGCGACTGGCCATTGACACGCCCTTGCCGCAGTACTGCACCCGGAATTGCTCCATCAGCTCGGTCCATGCTTTTTTTTATCTTCCTGGGCAACTGGAGATAGCGTTGGCGCGCAGGGCCGCTCATAAGATCGCTGAACTGCCCGCACACTTCTTCGCCCGTCATCCCGTCGCGCCGCGCGGCGGACTTCAGACGGTTGAGCCACAGTCTGGCTTTCTCTTCGCTGGCGTCCCGTCCCGAGAACTCTTTCAGCTCGGAAAATGTTGAGAGGCGTACGCGGGCGAGGGCTACGCCGCCGGCTGTCGCCGTCGAGACGGCGGCCGTGGTTCTTGGCACTCCGATGTCCAAGTCGAACAGGTCATCGGGGTCCTCGTCCGCGTCGCGTCGAGTTCTGGACCTCGTCGAAGAACGCGAACTGACCGACTCCATGGCGACATCCGCTGCCTCCTGGGGGCGAGCCACCGTGGGTGTGGGATTCGCGGGCGGCTTCGGCCCCGTCGGAATTGCGGCCGTGTCGGCGCGCGGGGTGTTCATCACTGTCGTCTGCATCAGCTTGATGATAGATTCTCTCAAGGCCTTGGGAAGCACCTCCTCGGCGGGTTTCGTCACCTCTGTGCGTGTGGGCGCCGCGGATAGCTGCATGACGCGCGGCGGCCGGTTCATGGGCATGCGCTTGGGCGACTCGAAACTGCTGTCGGAGTCCACGCTCGATTGGTATCGAGGTGGAGGCGAGGGCGTGGTCGTCGAAGTCTGGGCTGGACCCGCCGAGGGGCTCGGAGCGTCTTGGCCCGTCGCGGAACTCGTCGCGTCTTGTTTGACGGATCCGGCGAGAATCGTCAAGGGCTCCTGCACGACGCGAATCGCACGTAACCAAGATTTGAGGTCCCAATCACACAGCCTCTCCATCTCGAAAGCCCCCAGCACGAACCCCGAGTCACGCAGCATCTGGAAGAGGGTGGGCAACGCTGGTGAGACTATCGAAGTCCGGCGCCACGAAAGGGCCTGTGAAGTTGCTCATCAGCATGGGCTTGAGGAAGACCAAGATTGGGTCTTGTTCTAGCAGACGGAAGAGCTCCGTGCACGCCACGACGTACCGTACCTCCTCGACGGTGTACTGATGTCCCGTGTCCTTGCCTTGCGGCTTGGACAGCGACTCCTCCGTCGAGTCCGGCGCGCGCAGCTTCTTCTTCCTCCTCTTGGGCGACTTGCGCTTCGTGGCTGCCTTGGCGGTGGGTTGTTGTTGGTCGTCGGCCTTTGCAGGCTTCCGACCGGTAGGACCGCAACTTGCGTCGCGGCCCTTCGCGGCTCCCTCGTCGGGAGCCGCATCGGGAACGGCGAACTGTTCTTCGTAGCCCTCCTGGTCGTCGCTGACCCTGTGGCCTGTCGTGAAGGTTCCCTCTGAGCTCCACGACGCGACAGGTCTCTCACTGTGCTCTCTTACGGTCGGCGACCTTCCAGCCGACTGCGCACCTGCCTCCGATGCCTCTTGGATCGTTAGCCCGTCATTCGAAGTAGTACTCCCTGGTCGCGGCACCACTGTGGAGTAGCGCCCTCGCAGAAATCTCGCGAATGCGATCTCGCACAAACTCGGCGCGTCTGGATAGCGGTCGCGCCGCGCGAACTATTCCCGGTTGTTGGAGTAGCGTATCTTCGAAATACAGGCCCACGTCTTGCAGGCTTCGGAGTTGGGGGGGGTCTTGTGTTGACGCTTGTTCCTTGTCGTAGGGCGTCGAGCCTTGTGCGTGCGGCGTTATCGGGCCGGCGTTTCCTCGGCGTTCCCGTCGGGCGTGCGGCGTTATCGGGCCGGCGTTTCCTGGGGCTTGTGTGGCGTTATCGGGCCTACACGGGGGTCTTGTGCACGGCGGTTATCAGGCCAGTGCGGTCCTTCGCCTAGGCAGCGCGTTATCGGGCGCCCACCTAAACGGTATACGGTTAACGTGCCTTTGTTCCAGCACGCGTCTGTGGGGGGTGAGCACCCGAACCAGCAAACGACGGGGGGCCGCGATATCGAGGCGGCTCTACTTGCCGGCGCTTGGTGGTTCCCCTGGAACCTCGGAGAAGACGGGAGGCCTTTGTGGTTCAGAGAAATTTCGGGATTGAGTCCTTACCCTATCCTATGTCCTTGCTACTGGCTACTCTGTACTACTGCTTGCTAAGCCTACCGCTCTGGGCCTATCCCTACTTCTGTTGTGCTTGCACTGCCGTCCTTCAATCTGGTTTGCGTGGCGCAATCAAGATCTTACCTAGGCGCGTTTTGGTCGGCGGAGGTTAGGGTCGGCGCGTTTTGCTCGGCGGGGTTTAGGGTCGGTGCATTTTGCAGAACCGGGTGCGCGCCCATCAATCCGCGTCGAGTTCCATCAGCCGCGTCGAAGTCCATCACTCGCGTCCCGGCGCCTTCTTCCTCCGGTGCCCGGCGCGCCCACTTCTTCCGCGGGGTACTACACCACACTAGCTCAAAATAATGTATATTGTACCATCACACATGCACGTAGGGTATCAAAGCAGAGCTGCGACGCCCGCGATCGACTCAACAGAACTGTAACTGAGTGGGCTAATGCATTTGCTTAGTCGAACATCTTTTCATGAGCAACGCAATGAATGAATTAACGCAGACTGGAAAGGAGCAAATAATCGGCGCCTATAGCGTGCAGGAAGGACTTGGAGCTGTCTGATTTCTTCAAAGCGAAGTAGCAGGCGAGCTCGAATGGGCCAAAAGAGAGCCATTGTTGCTACCAAGAAGCACCGACACGGATTCCGGCTCGTACACCCCAGCTCATCGTCCAGCTCGTCGCCCGCGCATAGCCTTCAATGTAATTTAGAGAAGGTGCTGCTCGACAGTACCCGGTCATCAGCATGCAAAGCTGCTTGCTACTTGGCGTAGCGTTGGCGGTTCCTTGAGGCTTTGCTTGTTGATGCTGTTGTGCGGTCAAGCGATCCCGAAGGGCCGCAGACTTCTTACCAACGGCCGCAGAGCGACCCTTCTTACGACAGTATAAGGTTTGAAAGGCAAATAGGCTTAAAGGGCCCTAAGCGGGTCCAAATAAGGGTAAAATGTCACGTTAAGTCTATTTCTGATGTCCTCCATACTAACGGTCGAATTTGCTGTTTCATAACTTCGACCCTCTGGTTTTATGGCATCTAAAGATAGTGACGTCGGTTCAGCTCAAAAAAATCCGTGCCGATACCACCTTCCGATAAGCATCCAAATGTTGTTTAACCGAGGTATTTTTCATTTTTTGGTCCCCGTGTGAGCGATTCTAAATTGTGACCCTAACCCATTCGCAGAATTAATGTAAAAAGTAAAGCGGAGTGTATATAAGAGACGTAAAAACTCCATAAAACGGAGTCTTATGATTATAGGGGGGACTTCGTCCCCAATTACAATGTCTTGTCAATCGTTCATTGCACGTTGGAGGTTGGATGGGCGGGCTACATGCTATTAACGTTAGCCCACTCTCCCGCCATGATTACACTTCAAGTCTTCGGGCCACACGCTCAAGCATTACAGCTTCCTGGTTATATCGAGCTGAAGAACCAGAGAGCGAGCCGCCTTATGTACATGTATTATTTTAGTGCTCCACTGGGGCCTACAGGCCACGACTTGCAATAGCTTGGCCTGCGACACCAAGAGCGATAGCCTCACAGGCTGCAGTTGTTTATGTCATGGAGCTCGGTCGTCGCCTGGAGATGTCCGGACGGAGTATATTCGAGATGGGGTGCGGCGCCTTGGGCACCGGGAGAGATTGGCAGCGGACTCAGCGTCGGTGATTGTAGGGCCACGAAGCTTGATTCAACGTTAGCCTCTACTCACTCGCAGCAGGCATTCTCCAATTCGCCTCGCGCCAGCAACATCGATCGGCCTCCGCTCTCCAGACCATGAAGTTCCTGCTCCCCGCCACCGTCACCATCGCCGCTTTGGCCTCGTCCGCCAGTGCTCAGCAGTTCTGCGGTCGCGACGACAACAAGGTGGTCGGAGACTACACCGTGTACAACAACCTGTGGGCCGAGGAAAACGACCCTAAGGGCGGCCAGTGCACGGAGGTGACCGGCAGCACCAGCTCGTCCGTGTCGTGGCAGACAAGCTTCAACTGGGCCGGCGACAACTGGCAAGTCAAGTCGTTCGCCAACGCCGCGCTCAAGTTCACCCCCAAGCAGGTCTCGACCGTCACGTCGATCCCCACGAGCATCGCGTACAAGTACACCTACGACGGCAACATTATCGCCAACGTGGCCTACGACCTCTTCACTAGCTCGACTCCCACGGGAGATGTCGAGTACGAGCTGATGGTGTGGCTGTCGGCGCTGGGCGGCGCTTGGCCTCTAACCGACAGCGGCAAGCCCATCAAGACCGTCACTGCCGGTGGCGTCGAGTTCGACCTGTACCAAGGCTTCAACAAGAAGGTCAAGGTTTTCTCGTACGTCGCCAAGAAGTCGGCCACCAGTTTCACGGCGGACCTGAAGTACTTCTTCGACCAGCTCCCGGCCGACAACAACCTCCCGCAGACGCAGTACCTGCAGAAGGTGGAGGCCGGCACCGAGCCGTTCCAGGGCAAGAACGCCAAGATGGTCGTGTCGTCCTACTCCGTGCAGGTCAAGTAAGCTACAACGACAAGGCTACAGACCAACCGTTATGGTAGGCCAGAATTTTCACAGCAGTGGTGAGGAGCAACCAGCGCTGTACATCCTCTAAAACAATAAAATACATCAACTTTTGCATGCTAGACATAAGTTATACATGTACTACTACTTATTATACATGTACTACTGCAGTATGTGATGCTAAAGGGATGCCGGTACCACATAGGCTGAGCCAGGCGTGACAGTAACGATTGCAATCTGAAGCATGCAGATCTTTGTCGGTGAAGCAAACTCTCGGGATAGGTAGGCCGGCGTCGATATAAGTACGCAGCAAAGTTATCCTTGCCCAGCAGCGCTCTTTCGATCATCCCCACCACTTTGCAATCTACTGCACCAACGCCAACCACGACGATGAAGCTTTCGACCTCTGTTCTTACTCTCGTCGCTGCGGCTTCATTGGCCGACGCTCAGCAATTCTGCGGCCGCAACGACCAGAAAGGCCGCCGGGATCTACACCGTGTACAACAGCCTGTGGGGAGAGGAGGACAACGACCCCACGGGCGGCCAGTGCACTGCTGTGACCGGCAGCACCAGCTCGTCCGTGTTGTGGCACACGAGCTACAACTGGGCCGGCGACAACTGGCAAGTCAAGTCGTACGCCAACACCGCTCTGACGTTTACCCCCAAGCAGGTCTCTGCGATCGTCTCGATCCACGATCATGAAGTACTCGTACGCTTACGACGGCAACATCATCGCTAACGTGGCCTACGGCATGTTCACGAGCTCGACGGCCACGAGTACGGGTTAATGGTGTGGCTGGCGGCGCTGGGGGGCGCCTGGCCTCTAACGTCCAGCCAACATGGAAAATGATGATCCATATCGCGACGGTTCCGACTTCCCTACATATTCCGACATCTAGGATTTATTGACCAAACTAAAGTTACCGTAAGTAAAAAAAGGTAACTGAAGAAGAAAATGGCAGGGTACTTGCAGCTACATGCAATAAAAGTTAGGTGATGATAAAGTGCAAGGGTAGCTACATATGTTATTGATCACCTTGATCACCATGCAATAAAAGTTAGGCGATGATAAAGTGCAAGGGTAGCTACATATATTATTGATCACCTTGATCACCAATCTACGATCACCGCCTCCTCAGCTATTGTGCCAGCTTTGAGGCACGCAGCACCGCGATCGCCACTTCCGCCTTGTAGTCTGCCATTGTTGGCAATCCGATCCTGCGCGGCAGAGACTTCACCAGCTTGACCTACTGGTGCAGCACCTTGAACGATTCGAGTAGCGGGGTCATGATGTACAGGTGACCGAGCTGTCCTCCTTGGCCACCTCCGTGATGTACAGTGCCCACACGGCAGCCGTGCAGATAGGGTTCACCTCCAGCAGCCTAGCCGGCCGGGCACGACGTCACCGTCGCCTTCATCACCTTCACCTCCTTCGACAGCTTCTCGTCCAGATCGTTAGCCTCGTGCGGCAGGAACTTGTGCGACAGCGGGTCCAGCGTCTGGGTGGTCACGAGGAGGTCGTCCATGACGCGGAGCATGCCCTCAACATCCCCCTGCTCGAACGAGCACAGACAGCTGCAGCGCCGGCGTGTCCAGCTCCAAGGTACAGATCATGGGCGGACAGCGGCGATGCGCTGTAGCTCCGTGCGTGCCCTTGGCAAGAGCCTCGCGGTCCTCCGCGGGTGTGACCGCGTTCGTGAGCCTCCATGCGGCGGCGCGCGCCAATGAGCTTCGCCACGTCGCCAGCCGCGAAAGCCTTCTGCAGCTCCTTCCTGCGCTTGATCATCTCGCTCACCGTCTCCTCCGCACTCGCGTAGCTGCCCCCGCGCAGCACCACCTCAGCCAACCTCGGCGTACTGCAGCAAGCTCACCCGTCCTCCGACGGATGCTTCATGCGTGTAGAGCTAGCGTTGTGGCGGTGGAACGCTCAACGCGCTCGCCGTCATGGTCATCTTGCCTTGCCCTTCGCCGCGACTGCGTCGCCACCGATGCATGTGGGGGCTTCATCTCTCGGACTTGATCGCCATCTTGAAATGAACACCAATCAAAACTTCACTACGTCCTATTCTTGGACATAATCCTAGTTGTCAGAACGGCAAAACTATTTAAAAAGTATTTTCTCTACTTGATTTTTGTATACGCATATACATATTTAGGCCAGTCTTCGGACAAATATTTGTCCGAAAGTGTCGGAACGCGTTCACCTAACCCTAAAGCAGACGATTGGCTAAAATATCCACACCAGGCGATATGATAGGCTGTAATTCAGGTGAAGACAAGCCTGAAACAATCCTGCTCGCTTATCAGTCGGAAAGACCACTATATTCATCCATACCCAAAAACCTCCGACCCTCCGACTTTCTCCGACTCGTACGCAAAACATGCGGATAGGAGGGGTCACCTTTAACTATCACCCAGCTACGCACCTAAAACCCCTAAAGGCTCGCTGTTCTCGCTGGGCCAGAACCCTAAGCCCGCTGCGGCTCGCACGCGTCGCCTCCGCTTGCTAGGTAGAGCACTGCTGGGTCCTGGGTTTGCAGCCGCGTGCTACGAACACGGACTGTCAAACCGCAGGCGGGGGTCCGTGCCATCCATCCCAAGGCTCGACGACTAATCTATCTTGGACTGTGTATGCATAACACTTTGGGGAGGGGGAGGGTAATACTGTTATGCTCCGACCGCGCTTGACTGGGGATTTGTATACCTATCATCTTAAGTGCGGTCGGAGATTTGATGATATTCTACCATATCCACGTAGGAAGACCGAAGCTGCAGGGTCGAAAACCATGTTTGAAATGCAACAACTTCAAGTTCGGTGTGACGATTTCGTGCAGTCGGGTAGGCGTATGTAAGTTTGCGTTAGTTTGCTCCATGGCACTGCAGACGGATGTGTTGCCCAAAGGTCCAAACACTCCGTCTGCGATACAAGAGCTTTCCTAACTGTCCGTCGACTCAAAAGTTCTAGCACAAGCAGCGTGGCGCAATTTAGCCCAACCGAGCATGAGCCCCAACCAAATGGTGGCGATTTCTCACGCTGTTCACGGTCAGTCTGGAAGATCCAGCAGGCTGCGACAGCGTAACGTGAGCGAGCGGTTGGGCATTTGTATTTGGCTTCGGAAGTTTACGCTGTGATGAAGCCTTGCGAACATTCAGCGAGCGAGCGCTCGGGATGGGGACCACATCGGCCGGGATTCCGGTCCAGTTGCTGGCTGTTGCTGACCTTCTCAAGCAAAATGATCGTCGGTGTGTACCTAGAGACTCAATCCGCAAGCTATTGCTGCGCACTCGGCAATTTGCTCCAAGACCCCGACACCAAGACACACACTCCACTACTATGAAGCTCTCTGCTGCTGTTCTCGCGCTCGCCGCCGCGGCCTCGGCCACCGACGCCAAGGAGTTCTGCGGCCGCAACGACATGCAGTTCTTGGGCGACTACACGGTGTACAACAACCTGTGGGGCGAGGACAACGACCCTGAGGGCGGCCAGTGCACGGAGGTGGACGGCAGCAGCGACTCGGAGGTGTCGTGGCACACGCACTTCAACTGGGCGGGCGACAACTGGCAGGTCAAGTCGTACGCGAACGCCGCGCTCAAGTTCGACCCGGTGCAGGTGGCCAACGTCAAGTCCATCCCTACGACCATGAGCTACAGCTACACGTACGACGGCAACATCATCACCAACGTGGCGTACGACCTGTTCACGAGCCCCACCATCGGCGGCGAGACCGCGTACGAGCTCATGGTGTGGCTGGCCGCGCTGGGCGGCGCCTGGCCGCTCACGACCACGGGACAGCCCATCAAGGAGGTGAACCTGGGCGGCGTCGACTTCAACTTGTACCAGGGCTGGAACAACAAGACCAAGGTCTTCACGTACGTGGCTAAGCAGACCACGTACACGTTCGAGGCCGACCTGCGCAAGTTCTTCGACGAGCTGCCGGCCGACAACACGATCGAGGCGACCCAGTACCTGACCCACGTGCAGGCGGGCACGGAGCCCTTCCAGGGCAAGAACGCCACCTTCACGGTGCACAAGTACTCGGCCGCCGTCCACACGGCCTAGGGGTCTCTCTACTTGTAGATTGCTAAGTAGGTAGACTCAGCGGCGAAGACGCCGACCGTCCTAAACAATTGAATTTGATGGTACAGCTCACAGCCCCAACTACAGTAGTACAGGAGCATGGTGGTTAACACCATGCCCGTTTTCCAGTCGCCGCGACGCTTCCTCGGATTAAACCGAGAGCGACGAGACAGTTCAATAAGAGGAGGCAAATCGACTTGGTGCTCCCCATGCCCGCATCGCATAGAGGAGGAGAAGACCCGGTGTTCCCGCGGCCGTTTTGCTAGGTACAGTAATCTGCCCGATTAAGGAACGCCTGATATATATAAAGACGCAGAATATATAAATTGATATTAAGTTGATTATACTTTTCTAATGTACTGATTTATTTATTTCAAAATGAACTGATGACCTAAGAGTCCGGAATGATTCCAACAGTGGCGTATGGTCGAAGCACTAACCTTTGACCAGGCATCCTCGCACCACAACAGCGCTGTCAACTGGTGGACCTCGTAGGGATTATCTAGCCCTTCACCTTGTCGAGGATGCCCACTTTCTCAGACCAAGTGAGGCGGAGACGCTTGGACGGTGTGGACTTCATGGGTGGAGTGGGGGAGGAGGTGGGCTTGTGGGGCGAGGTGCAAAAGAAAAAGTGCGAGTCTACCACTACGGTACATGTAGTTTGAAGTCTAGTAAGATCGCTAAATGCGCGCCATTTTTCAAACGAGGGTGGAGAGCTGATGATTGGCACTGGATTTTTCACCTCAGTACCTTGCAGTACCTTGCACATCCCCCTATCGCCACATCGACTGGAAAATAATATTAAATATGTGAGGCTATTAGTTGTACACCCGTTCCTTATTCGGGTAGAATTCTGTATAGACACATCCGTTGCTTGCCTTTCGGGGTGGATCAAAGGATAAGTCAAACCAAAGGGAAAACGTCAAAATGTGTATGAATTTGAAACGTTTTGTCAAAAGCGGTTAACTCGTGTCATTAGGTGTATGCTAGTTTGTCGGTATGAGTATGTGTATGTCGTTCCAAGCGCACTAAGGTGCTGCATCAGCAACGAATGCGGTGACTGCTGGTGTGTGGGCTTATTGTGCTTTGCAATGATTTTGCCGACCATTTTAGACGCTAAATATGGCAAAGCCTGCTCCTAAATATGTGTGAAAGAAGAGACACGACCTGCTAAAATTATGCATAAATCCACCTCCTCATTTATATATTGACTTGGGAGGGCGTGTCAGCAGCCATGCATTGGCCCAGTACCGTCCATGATCCCACCCTCTTATGCATAATTGCCGTGTGTGTAGGTGCTTGTGGATAAAAACCGACAGAATTGTGGCGCTTTTAGCGTAATGCTAGGCCTCCACCCATTTATGTACCTCGAGTTATCGTAAATCTAGCAGGTGGTCGCTATAAATACAGCAAATCTCGCCTCATATTGCCAAAATCATTGCAAAGCACAATAGATCCAAATCCCACACCTTGAACAAACCAAACCATGAAACGTGCAAGAAATTGGTTTGCTCGTAAACTACGCAGATTTCCGAACCAAAATTACCGCTTTCGCTGGTTTGTGGTCAGATCCTTCCAGCTTTCAAACCGGGTTCGGAGTTATGTAGCGTAACAGGTTTGGAGTTACTGTGGCGCTCATTGGCTACAAAAGGCTATACAAAGATATCGTACACTTTCGTAAAGGTCCGCATTTGTTGAAATAAATTCTCGGGCTGTAGAATATCCAAGTATGTCGTTAAGAATTGATATACGAGCCACAATTAATGAGCACCTTAAGATGCACAAGAGTTTGGCACAGATTTTGAAGTTGCTCGAAGTGAGCTACGACTAGCCCGCATAATATTAGACGGCGTGGGAGACTAGAGATTATCTTTAAAACACGATCAACTTTCCGGGCATTCAGCGTTGTTAACACTGTTCTAAAGTACGGAATTACCGCTGCTAAGCAACAATTGGATACTCAACAGACCAAGCGTATGCAAACAACGCGTCTAGTTTTTTTCAGATTTACAGAACATTTCAAAATTGGCGGAGCTGCACTGTTGTTAGGGTCCCTAATCCCTAACTTAGGGATCTCATTATTAAATCCATTTACTTCTTGTGGTCATCATTGATGACTTGATGACTCATCAAGTTAACAGTAAATCATGTTGACCATTCTTTTTTTTTCTCGCGAGCAGCATTGCAGAGAACTTGGTGACTCCCGTGAACTAAATTTTTCGTGTAAATTGAAGCTGGAAGTTCTTGTTGCACGTAGGGGAGGCAGCATCATAAACAGCTATTGCTAGTTTTGATCCTCAGCCCACGCAAAAGGACGACAGTTGCCCCCATGCCGCTTTCATGAAACCAACGCGTGCCATCCAACAACAAAAAAACTAGCCAGTTCATTTCGTCGTCACTGGCAAAATATTTACTGGCACACAGTATTATGCGAGCTCTTCTTGTGACTCAGCATTGAATTCCGTACCCCTACACAGCAGAACGTACTATGAAACAGTATTTACGAGCAAATTTCTTACCAACAAATGAGAATTCATAACGTCCTCCTCCCAATTCATAACTTCCTCCTTCCTTAATGCTACTCGAGCCACCTCAAAACAGTACATGTGCTCGTATCCTAAGGTTTTTGATTCACGGGTAGAAATTAAACTAAAATGCCGCAGACAGTTTGAAACTATGATGACGCTTCTGGAAGATGAGTGCGAGAGCAATCGAGTTCAACGTAGCTCTGAACAGCAATAAGTTATGCTACCTGCCAGCGTCTTCAAGAGTGTCTGCACGAATTCCCCGCTTTATCACGCCTGCACCGTTTTGTCGCGGCCCACCCTCGGGTGTTTGCTATACGCAGGCGCTCTCTCTTAACAAACACCGAGGGACTGTTCAAGCACCACCCAGCGCTTCGGATATCTCAATCTTGGACGTCACCATTCATTACGTCTCTCTTAGCTCCGTAGTCAGAACGGTTTTTGCTTATCGAAAGTCACTAACCTGTAACAAGGATACTTTCTACTGATCAATGAGATAATGCACTGTATGTTAAGGAAACTACTTATGTAGATAGCCTATCTATCCCGAGCTTGCAGTAGCCAAATTGTGAACGCGACCTACGTATCAGCGGAACTTAAGGGAGCTTTAGAGACGGAACCACTTCGTCTTGAAAGTGCAAACAGAAGCAAGCCGTTGGTGTGCGCACAAATTGTTCATGCAGACGAACATCAGCCTCTTTTGATCTTTCTTGAGAGACTTCGCATCAAATTCGCCATTTCCACTGGTCACGGCTAGTGCTGTGATGATCTGTAAACACATATTCCCGTCCAGCTATCTGTAAACACATATTCCCGTCCAGCGCTCGAACGACCTAACTAAATCCTCCATTCGCTCCTTCGTCCTGGATTCCGGAGCTCCAAGTTGAATAAGGGGACCGTTCGAAGGTTTGATTGAGCCCGTGGCATCTTAACCCTTTCGCGTTGAATGGGCGCATTTTTCGGGCAAATTTTGCGTGTAGATCCCCCTTGATTTATCGAGTAAACTTGTTGAATATCTGGATTTATGTACTCTCTGACGTCGTGTCTGCCTGTGTATATTTTTTTACCGCAAAAGAAAGTTTGAGGGCAAATGCCCATATTATCATGAGCCGGAGACTGGCTCAAGCTAACAGTAAGCTTACTTGCAACTACTTTATCTTTGGGCGTTCCCGTGGTCGCACTGATCGAAGCGGTTTCTCAATCGCGATAATTGTTGTCGTGGCCTTGCCGAAGAGCACGATAACAGTGAAGTGATTCTAACCGCGATCCATTCTGTAAAAGCCGCACTGCCTGCGAATGTGCAGCCGCGGTTCAAACCAGCGCGCTGGTTCGCAAAAACGGCATGCTTGGTTTGGAGTTACAAAATGAAACGTGTTCAAACCATGAAACCGATTCAAACCTGGTTTGCCGGTAATTTTGGTTTGGTTTGAACTGGCCGAGGTTTGGTTTGGTTTGGTTTGGTTTGTTCTGGGTGTGCCAAATCCATAAAACCCGGGGTTAGGAAGGCTTCTACCTGATGCAACTAGCCCGGTTCGTGGTGTCCATGACTTTGATAGCGAATTGAACGGCTGAGGGACTACAATGAACGTCGTTATCCATTGTAGCCAGGCCTCAGCGTTGCCACAGTTCTACAATACCTACACTCTCCCGCGGTTGGGGGCTATCACTAGAGCTCCTTCACCTCCGAAATTCAGATGCAAAACCTACCTAGTATATCCATGCTATATACGCTTGTGGTTTGCGTTGGTAGTTCCTTGTAGCTACAATAGCGAAGTTGTCGAGTACAGTTGCTCTATATGCTATTATTAGTTGACCGTGTTCGCTACGAGCGTGTCGTTAATAAACTACTGTGCTTGGAAGCTCGATCCTGGGTCTGTATGACCCGACCTCGGCCGAAATACCGCGGCAACCAAAACGTGTGTCAGTACGTGTATGATGAGACATGACGCGACGTGACGCCCACGACCACTACACCTATTGACAAACATTTTCCCAACGCATATATAATACCTTTTGACGTTTTCGAAAAGTTCTGCTGATACCGCAAGACTGTAGTGCTAAGTGTGTTTTGCGGTATCACGAACTGTGTGAGTTGTATGGTTATCTGTGTGTCTCAATGCGGGTTAGGGTTACCAGCCGGAGGAGGGGGGCAGGTGAAAGCGATTTCCTGGATTTCACAAATTCGCCCCTACCGAACCTGGCGCTCACTTAACTATAGGCAAGCCTGGGCTCATCGGAGAGCTAGCCTTGCCCTTTGGCTTTCCAACGAGACCAACTTCACTTAATGATATTTCGTGCAGCCTTCAGGCCGTTCCGTTTCCTAGAGCACTCGTGAACCTTTGGAGATTTGGCGTGGGTGACCTCCGTCCCCGCCCAGCTGCCAGACTGGGCCAAAGTATGGCCATGATAAAAAAAACACGATTTGCATTGAGGTGTTTTTTTGCGGTATCAGCAGCAAGAGCCGACGTTTTCCCCAAACCATACGCCTGCGAGACGTCGCCAGTAACGGGTCATCGCCGAGCATCCGAGATCGGAGCTCCAACTCGGCCCCATGGATACTCCCGCATGAAAAGGAGCTGCGCTGCGGCTGGCGAAGTGGATCACGGCAACGTTAATTGTCTCTTGAATGCGTTGCCCCACTCTCCAATTCACAACTTATACAGCACCAGCTAAGTACAGTAGCCATGAAGCTCTCCGTCGCCATCGCCTTCGCTGCTGCTGCCGTTGCCGCTCCCCCCGCCGTTGCCAAAGAGTTCTGCGATCTGTGGGGCTCGGCGCAGACGGACGACTACACAGTCTACAACAACCTCTGGGGCGCGCATGACGACCCCAAGGGCGGCCAGTGCACGGAACTCGACAGCGTGGACGGCTCCAACATCGCGTGGCACACGAGTTTCAACTGGAACGGAAGCTCCTGGCAGGTCAAGTCGTTCGCCAACGCCGCGCTCAAGTTCGAGCCCGTCCAGCTGGCGAATATCTCGTCGATCCCGTCGACTATCGAGTACGACTACAAATACGACGGCAAGATCATCACCAACGTGGCCTACGACCTCTTCACGAGTGCCACCGCCAACGGGACGGTCGAGTACGAGCTGATGGTGTGGCTGGCGGCCTTGGGCGGTGCGTGGCCCCTCACGACCTCGGGGCGGCCCATCAAGGCGGTGAACGTGGGCGGCACCGACTTCAACCTGTACCAGGGCAAGAACGGCAACACCACCGTCTTCTCGTACGTCGCCGTGAACTCAACCACCAAGTTCTCCGCGGACTTCAAGCAGTTCTTCAGCGAGCTTCCGGCAGACAACACCATTGCCCCGACCCAGTTCCTGACTCATGTTCAGGCCGGAACCGAGCCGTTCCAGGGCCAGAATGCCACGCTGACCGTGTCCAAGTACTCAGTAGCAGTCAACTCGGCGTAGGCCGCTTGGGGTGGGTAAATCACAGGGTAATATACAAAAGCCAGCTGAGAATTGACGATACCAAACAACGAGGCTCTTTCACTTCGATCAGAAGACGGATGCAGTACTACGGTGCATATTCTAATGAAGAGCCCGAGAGGAAACTCTAGAGATTTGTGTATAACGCTCCCGGTGAAGCGCGGGCGGCTTTGCTGAAGTTGCCAAGATAGTCGGGTTAGCGTGGAAGGAGCTATAGTTGCTCTACAAGCGTTGAGTTTCAGCCGACAAATAATCGTCGCCTTCTTCTTCAGAATTCAATTTGCAGCTCGACACTTACACCGACCATGGAGCTCTCCCTTGCAGCTGCTGCTGCTGCCGTTGCATCTCGTCCGTCATCGCGGAGAAGGGGTGCTGCGGGGAGAAGAACTTGACCTACAACAATTTGTGGGGCGCTTGGGACGACGCCGAGGGATGGCAGTGCACGGGTCTCGACAGCGCCGATGGCTCCACTATCGCCTGGCACACAAACTTCAACTGGTCCGGAACCCCGTGGCAGGTCAAGTCTTACGCCAACACTGCACTCAAGTTTGAGCCCCTGCAGGTGGCCAATGTTACGTCCATCCTTTCCACTGTCGAGTTCGAGGCGAGCTACAGCGAGAAGACAATCGCCAACGTGGCCTACAACCTCTTCACGAACCCGACCTCTGATACAGATGTCGAGTACGATCTCATGGTTTGGCCGCCGCGATGGGCGGCGCCTTGCCGCTGTCGTCGTCGGGCAAGCCGATCAAGACTGCGAGTATCGGGGACGTCGACTTCACGCTGTACCAAGGAATAAACGGCAACATGACGGTGCTCTCATACGTGGCCGCAACGACGGTGAACAGCTTCAAGGTCGACCTGAAGACGTTCTTCGACGAGCTCCCCGCCAACTACTCGATCGCGCCGACGCAGTACCTGGGAAACGTGCAGTTCGGCACGAAGGCGCTTATCGGCCACGGTACTCTGACCGTGTCCAAGTACTCGGCGGCGGTACACACGGCGTGAGAAGCGTTGATCCTGCTCAGGAACCAGACCCAACTACACGTACAGCCACAGATACCGGTACGCACCAAAGTTAGTAAAACAAATCTTAAGAACTTGGTGCTCGTTTCGTGAATTCAAGCCGCGGCAACGATTCCCATGAGCGCAACAATGGTTAAACCCTTCCAAGCATTACATGTATTATACATGTATTAATAGTACTCGTCACTTGCAAGCATGAGGCTATCCCCCGTACGTGTGAACCCAGAGGTTACGAGTTCAAGGATGCCGCTGCCAAACGGACACTTGAGATGGGATCGTCTGGTTAATCGATGCTGTTCTATGAGCTGCAACATCTTGGGACGCATCATGAAAAGGAGCTGCAGGTGACGTTGCCGATCTCTCCTGCCTTGAAGTCGATATTATAATACTGTACTGAATAGTTAAAAACACTCGGTTGAGTCCGTCGGTCTTGAATTTGCGCCGCAGCTCTCAACTCGCGATCCCCTCGATGCAGATCTCCACCGTTCTCACTGCCTCCGCTCTCGCTCTTGCGGCATCCCCCTCCTTCGCGGAGAAGGAGTTCTGTGGTGAGAAGAACTTGACGCAGACGGACGACTACATCCTCTACAACAACCTGTGGGGCGCCTGGGACGACCCCAAGGGCTGGCAGTGCACGGGTCTCGACAGCGTCGACGGCTCCACGATCTCCTGGCACACGCGCTTCAGCTGGAACGGAACTGCGTGGCAGGTCAAGTCGTTCGCGAACGCTGCGCTCCAGTTCGACCACGTGCCCATCGCCGACGTCACGTCGATCCCCTCCACCATCGAGTACGACTTCCAGTACGAGGGCAAGACTGTCGCCAACGTTGCGTACGATCTGTTCACCACCTCCAAGATCGGTGGGGACGCCGAGTATGAGGTGATGGTGTGGCTCGAGGCGATCGGTGGGGCGGGCCCCCTCTCGAACACCGGATCTGCTATCAAGCACGTGACCGTGGGCGGCGTCGACTTCAGTCTGTACCACGGCAAGAACGGCAACATGACCGTCTACTCTTACGTAGCGGCCAACGCTATGAACAGCTTCTCCGCGGACTTTAAGCAGTTCTTCGACGAGCTCCCCGCAAACAATACCATCGCCCCGACTCAGTACCTGATCAACGTCCAGGCTGGCACGGAGCCCTTTGTCGGCAATGGTACCCTGACGGTGTCCAAGTACTCGGCTGCAGTCCACACGGCCGGCGCCAACTGATCGCAGTGCGGCGAAGAAGAACGCATTATTTTTTTTGATAGAGGCCCTAAATAAAAGTTTTGTGATGCCTATCGTTGACACAGTGTAGTTTGACTTGTACATGTAGACCATGGTCGTCTCGATATGTTTTCATCGCACACAACACTGTGCCCAGCAGTTGGTCCGATGGTAAGCTCTTGAAATTCAGATTGGATACCCAGATCATTTGGGTGGGTGTACAGGACAGTAGCAGTTCCTGGTCAAGTGCCCAGATGTTCAACGTTGTTCTGCAATGTGGCAGGTTGCGTTATGGGAAATCAAGTGTGCTCCATTAACTCTGTCTATTATTATCCGCGTGAAAAGGAGCTGCGGCGGATCAAATCGCGATAGAAGCGTCAGCTCGAACGTTATTCAATTGCGTAAAATGATAATCTTGTTATCATCCTCCATCGGAAAGCTTTGATCTCCTGGCGATCGCTCGCGCGCACTGGTATTAATAATATTTAATAAAGCATGAGTCATTGGAAAAATCTACATGTACTTAGTACACTAGTACATGTATACGCAGCGTCCATGTTGTTGCTTCTTGACGTAATACATAGTAAACAGCAATAGCCCCTCGAACGGCTTCAACAAACTCAACTGTGATTAACTGGTCTAGAAACCGTCTGGGACGGTTTCTAGGACGGTCCGTCCCATCCCACTGCCACCAGTCTTATGCATTACTGTACAGTACCGGTGATCGGTGAACAGCCCACGGTTCTAGACTCATCATGGAAAGGGCTTGTACAGCTACCAGCCAGACCAGTTCATGGTAACATCGCCAGTCTCTACAGTACATGTAGTTGTTCATCGAGCCACTCGCTCGAGTTGCTCACTTCAGAACTTACCTCCAGCCCCTCACAACGCCCACCGCCAGCCATGAAGAGCTCCGCCGTCCTCGCTGCTTCCGCTCTCGCCATCGCGGCCTCGCCTGCCTTCGCCCAAGAAGAGTTCTGTGGCCAGTGGAACTTGACCAAGACGGACGACTACATCCTCTACAACAACCTCTGGGGCGCCTTCGACGACCCCACCGGCACCCAGTGCACGGGTCTCGACAGCGTCAAAGGCTCCACCGTCGCGTGGCACACGAGCTTCGGCTGGTCGGGCTCCAAGACGCAGGTCAAGTCGTTCGCCAACGTCGCGCTCCAGTTCGACCACCTGCCGATCTCCGAGGTGACATCCATCCCCTCGACCATCCACTTCAAGTACGACTACGAAGAGAGCCTCATCGCCAACGTGGCGTTCGACCTGTTCACGTCCTCCACGCCTGACGGCGACGCCGAGTACGAGATCATGGTGTGGCTGGCGGCTATCGGCGGCGCGGGTCCCATCTCGAGCACGGGCTCCGCTGTGGACCAGGTGACGGTGGGCGGCGTCGACTTCAGCCTGTACGCCGGCAAGAACGGCAACATGACGGTCTACTCGTTCGTCGCGTCCACGATGGTCAACCGGTACGCGACCGACTTTAAGCAGTTCTTCGACGTGCTCCCCAGGAATCTCACCATCGACCCGAGCCAGTACCTGATCAACGTCCAGGCCGGCACTGAGCCGTTCGTCGGCAACGGCACGCTCACCGTGTCCAAGTACTCGGCCGCGGTCAACCCTGCGGAGTACTCGCAGGTCCAGCAGCAGTAAGCTGCTCAGTGTGGATATACATACTGTTCTCTAAGCGGATAGCTTAGAGCCAGCGTCATTTCTTGTCAGACCATCAGTTTAATACATTCGGTACATTTTAATATGAACTAGAGTATCCAAAATCTCATGGTATTACCGGTATAAAGCAGCGCAGCGTCCGGATCGATGCTTTTGACGTGGTTTTGGATTTGGAATAAAACTTAAGCAAAACAAAATGTGCGGTTTAATTCACACCCATCATTACGATGCATACTGTGGTACTGTGCGACGTTGGGGCTCATGCAGGCTGCGGAATCCAAAACGGAGTGCGCATGGCGCGACAGTAGTGTATGCAGTGTCCGGACGTCGCACTACAGTAGTATGCGTAGTGTTTTCTGGACGTCGCATCATATTGAGTACCAGTATCTACATTGATATAGACGGACAAGTCCATGGTGGTGCACTTTAGAGTGCTCGATTAGATGGGCGTGATGTTTGCTGCAGCAAGAACCTAAGTAAAGCAATATGAACGCATGGCGCAGCGAAATTAGCGCCAATTTTCACCGCGTACTTTATAACTGCAGTAACGTGTAAACTGCAGATGTAGTTCGTAAAAATAGAGGTATTTTACTAGGTGCGGCTCGCGAAGAAGTCTCGTTGGATGACATTATACTGGGTTGCAACAACTCACGCACCATGGAGTACTGTAGACCTTGACAGTTTTCTTCCTGATCGTGGGGTGAGCAAAAAAAAGATAGTAACAGAAATAGCGATAACAATATCAGTTTCAAAGTCAGTAACTAATAGCGGTTGCAGTAGCGGTGGCATTGACAGTAGGGCAGTTGCAGCGGTAGCTGGCAGTGATCGTGACGCAAGCGAACAATTCCAATAGCAATATACCGAATAAAAATTATTGTGCCTTTCACTTATTCTGCCGTGATAATTCTGGCATAACTCTAATCCGTTATCGACCTTAATTATGCCCCGAGTTAGCTAATTCCCATGTTAATTCCGGGTCGTCCCTCCGTGGCCGAATTAGGAGCGGCGATGGTGAGGCCGACTCAAGGCGGAATAAGCTAATCCAGCCTTCGTTATTAATAGGCGGAAACAGAGCGATTGGCGGTTTCCTATCCGCCAATCCATGCCATTCTGTTCGTATCTCCGTCGATTAGCTGATCGCGGATGTTAGGGGAAGCGCTCACAATCTTAGGCATAATTAGCACTAAATAAGCGTTGATCACCCTTTTATGACTCTAACTCCGCCTGAATTAACAGCTCACCCGCCAAAATACGTGAAAGACACAATACGTCATATTGATATTACTTACGCAGCAATACAAGTCACACACATTATTTGGAAAAGAGGAGAGTGATTTACAAGGGTCTAGAGGACGATAAGATCATCGATAATGTTTGGATCGCGTCGTTTTCACCACGGTGGACGGCGATATTCAGATGGCATCTATTTATAAATTTAGTTTGAGCAAGCCATGAAATGCCCCATGATATTATGCAGCAAGCCAAGCAGTATGGAGTAGATTTTGGCAGTCTTTCTCAGGCATGAAAAAGAAAGCAGGAGCAATATCATTACAGTGCCATTATCAATGTTGAGATCGTAGTTGTAGCGTAAATAACAACGGTAGCGGTAGTGGCAGCAGATAATAAACAGTCGCAGTAGCGATAGCAGCAGATACGAACAAGCAATATCAATGACAACATTACTATGACATCATTAACAGTAGTGAAATAGTAGTTGAAGTAGCTGTAGTACAGCTGCTCCAGCTGTAGTTGCAGTAGTGGTAAGCAGATAGTGCCTGTGACCAGCAGTAACGCGCGCCACAGGTAGCATAACAAATGCAATATCTTTAACAATAGTGGAATATGAGTAGTATAGCAATATAAGTAGTGATGAGGTAGGAGTAGGAGCAGCAGCGATAGTGCCAGTGTCAGTAGCAGTGACAGTAGCAGCCGCAGTAGCTGTAGCATGGCAGTGGTGGCGACAGTGGCAGTTGCAATAAATACCAATTGCAACATGATGTTGTCAACATCAGGGCCCCTCCAATTCAGTATTATATTGAATTGGTAAAATTGCTTGACAGTAATAATGATTTAAATATGACGATAACCAAAGCTAATTATTATACTGATTAAATACTTCAATTCCATGCGCCTTGACTGTGTTTTTGAAAACCCTGAAATCATACGAGCCAATAATACAAATTTCAATATGGCGCTTGCCAATAACACATATTTTCGTCATATTAATTGACAATTTTCATATTGAAATTTTTTACTCATACCCCTGGTCAACATCAATTATAATAGTATGAAAATTTAAGTTTCTTGTAGTAATATGAAGCGTTTCATGTATAGTACTCACAAAAATATTGGTGATAATGTTAATAACAGTAACAAGTGCAGACTGGCGCTGAGGCGCGGCGCGTCCTAACCGTTTTAGTAGCAAAAAACACAAAATTGTTCGGTCCGCTTGGAGACCCGCACGCGAAGCGCGCCCCAGTATGTACGGGCTCTTGCTGCTGATACCGCAAAAAAACACCCCAATGCAAATCGTGTTTTTTTATCATGGCCATACTTTGGCCCAGTCTGGCAGCTGGGCGGGGACGGAGGTCACCCACGCCAAATCTCCAAAGGTTCACGAGTGCTCTAGGAAACGGAACGGCCTGAAGGCTGCACGAAATATCATTAAGCGAAGTTGGTCTCGTTGGAAAGCCAAAGGGCAAGGTTAGCTCTCCGATGAGCCCAGGCTTGCCTATAGTTAAGTGAGCGCCAGGTTCGGTAGGGGCGAATTTGTGAAATCCAGGAAATCGCTTTCACCTGCCCCCCTCCTCCGGCTGGTAACCCTAACCCGCATTGAGACACACAGATAACCATACAACTCACACAGTTCGTGATACCGCAAAACACACTTAGCACTACAGTCTTGCGGTATCAGCAGAACTTTTCGTATGTACGTTGCGTGACTAGCTGGCCCGTAGGATACGGGAACACAGCAACAAGTTTTGATAAAGAAAGCTAAGTCTACACTTGAAACGTCTTGTTCTCCTCCCCTTGTTGCAGCTGTACTGTACTTCTCCTCCTCACGACGCCATTGCGTTCGGTTCAAGGCCAACAATCGAGATGTGCTCTCGGAAATTCCGAGAGCGATTCCGAGTCGGAATCGGATCGCTCCGAGCTTCCCTCTCATGGAGGAAGGCTATCCCCTCCATGCCGTCTTTATACGCGCGATTCGTGATGGCGTTCGCGATCGAGCCGGAGGCCTCATTGCTCGTCGTGTTGCACGGCCACATACGGGATGGGACCGCGGATTCCTCGCGACCGTATGCCACTTAGCTCGGCTTGAGTGCAGGCTTGTAATGGCCGTGACTGCGACTGTAAACATGCCACTCGATAATTCGCTTCGACCAGCTCAGCTCTGTTGGTATTTTCCTTATAAGCTTAGGATGAAGTTCTCGCTTACTGCCGTCGCTGCCTTCGCGGCCTCGGCCGTCTCGGCCGACAAGATGTGCGGCGACTGGGACACGGCCGTCGTGGGCGACTTCACGCTGTACAACAACCTCTGGGGCAAGGAGAACGACCCGGGCACCGGCCACCAGTGCACCACGCTGCTCAACAGCAGCGCCGACAACTCGACGCTCGGCTGGTCCACCGAGTACAAGTGGGGAGGCATCACGTGGAACGTCAAGGGCTATCCGAACGTGGGGCTGCACTTCAAGCCTATCGAGCTCGCGAACGTCGAGTCCATCCCTACGAGTATCAACTACACGTACGAGTACAGCCCCACCACCACGGCCAACGTGGCGTACGATCTGTTCACCAGCTCGACGCCTGACGGGGACTTTGAGTACGAGATCATGGTGTGGCTGGCGGCGATTGGCACGGCGTGGCCCCTGGCGAGCGAGGGCAAGAACATCAAGAACATCACGGTCAGCGGCGTCGACTTCATGCTCAACCACGGCGTCAACGGCAACATGACGGTCTTCTCGTACGTGGCCACCCAGCTGACGGAGAACTTCTCGGGCGACCTCACGGAGTTCATCGAGGCCCTGCCGCAGGACGTCGCCCCCGGCGCCAAGCAGTACCTCACCAAGGTGCAGTGCGGCACCGAATCGTACCATGCCGACAGGGCCTCCATGACGGTGACGTCGTACACGGTGGCGGTGAACTCGGTGATGCAAGGAGACGTCGGCTTCTCTCAGAATTAAGCGAGCAGGGGCGAACAGCCTTCGAGTTTGTTGCTGTCAAGGTCAGTACTAAGGACAACTTACTTACTCACGCCCAGTCCGAAGCCAGTCAAAGCGAAGGCTGAAATCCGTGCCTTCCATTACGACAGACGAGTGTCGTGTTAGTCCTTACATTTAATTCGCCAGCGGCAAATAGTAATTGATGCATTCTTACCGAAATACTCGAGCTCGAACGGGAGCAGCACCAACGTCGCGATGAGCACGTCGGTTTGAACTAGTTCGAGTTGCGTTTCCAGGACGTAGGCTAGCTGGAAAAGTGGGGGGAACGCGAACTTGCGTTGCAGTACCTACGTCAGAGCGACGAAGGGGCAAAACTCTAGCGCGGCAAAAAGCAGAATACTCCCTACTGCACTGATTTGCCAGCCTTCAGCGCCGCCAGGAGCGTACACGACGTTCGGTAGCAGCTGGAGTACGGACTTGTAGACGACGAAAACGACGGGAATAATGCACTCGATGTACTCGACTAGCGTCAGATATTTACTGTGGAAAAGTAGCTGCAACCCCTGCGTGATGAGCTTCTGCGATCTCTCAGCGTCCACGACTCCTCCAGTAGCTAGAGTACCACTTTGGGATTGTTTTGTGCGGGCGGTGGCTTCTGCAACGCATTCACGACGGGGCCAGCCACGATCGGCGCTACGGAAATTCGTCGCGATGCGAGTTTGTATAGCTGGTTTGCCTGTGTTTGGGCGTCAGTCGAACGACGACACGCTGCTTTGTAGACGTTTAAGGCCTCGAGTCGTTTGAGCGCGTCCAGTTGTCCACTAGGAAGAGGATGAGGCCCGCAAGCCCAGAGACAAACGTCTGGGAGTGAGTCCAAGCTGTGAGCCTCCGGATTCCGAGCGATCTCAAGAATTAGTGTAAGCAGACGTTCCTTATGGTTCCAGCCTTTGTAATCTCGAATCAAAGTGTAGAGAACATTAGCGTTCGCGCGAAGCTCTCGATACTCCAGTAGCAAGCTCGCTGCGTCTGAGAGGACGGCCAGCACCGACACCAGAATCGCTCCCGAGTTATACATGCTCACCGAGATAAACAGCGTGCTAAAGTAGTCGACGGTGAATGTCACGATGCCTGGCACGTAGTCCTCCATTTCGTGGATTGAGCGGGCGACATATTTCTTGGCCGCAAACTTCCAGAACGGTAGCAAAAGCATCGTTAGGCTTTTTTTGGTACTTGGCAGGGACGAGACCATAGAGCACTTTGACGAACGGATAAATCGCGACCAGCGTCTCGTGGGCAACTAGAAAGTGGTGGAATTTGAGGAGGTCAGGACGGAACGGAGATGAAATGCGGAACGCGAGATCCCAAGTGTGAGAACCAGCATCACGCCGATGACGAATACGTTGGGTACACCGCCAATCAACATCACAAAGGGTACAGGAAACCCCACGACACTGGCAAGCATGAGCGCGAACCCTGTAAACCCTGCGGATACACCACTTGAGATCACCATTATCTTCGCGAAGGTAAGTGGGAGGCCAACCACCAGTCGTCTCAGCACCAGCATGGCGTTAGTTGTTAGGATAAAGGAGATGACCGTCACTCGAACCCAGAACACCCAGTTTGCACCCCATCCGGCTGAAGGTGGCTGAAGAGTTAGTGATTCCAGTAGTAAAGCCACTCCTAAGGCCGGCAGCGGGGTTAGAAGACACACAAAGACCGCGCATAATGCCGACGTGGTCTTACAATAGTAATCCAGGCTCTCAAGTCTCTCGATCGAGTAGCTGCCCTGGCGACCAACCTGGATGGCTTCCCACTTGGCTACAAGACGAGAGAACAGAGTGTCGAATGCTTGATAACTTCGATCTGACGCCATTGCGATGAGTCCACATGCGCATTTGCGTCGTGTTCAGTATTCATGAGAGGGATCAATGATGAAGTCAGTTTGGTATTCCTAGGTTTAAAATTGGCACTCTGAGCAACAATTTGTCCAGGATCTTATCCCATTATTATCGTCATCACTATCGACCTGTTCCGTTTTACGAATGCGGGGGATATACATGTATTATAGTGGATGGCTATTAGTTATTTTCTAGCTACAATCTTCTTAGTTGGTGCAGAAGCTGACAAAGCTCGCTTCGTAATAGTTGTGACTTCGAGTTCTCCGGCCATGTCTTAGAACTACAGTGTTCGGGGTTAGTGAAAAGATTAATAGTCGAGGGGCTCGCGTCGACACCAAACAGGACAAGGCGAGTTATGTTTTTTCATCAAGACGCTGCCAGAAACCCACGGTATTGTAGACATAAGCCAGGAGTTGTGAAAAAGTAGATAAAACAGTAAGACATGCACCCAAAATGCATTGTCTTAGCAAATGGTGAATCCTCCCAGCGTATCTAAGACCTCCGGCATTCTACCTGCTCGCTAGTGATTGGATTCACGGATGGGGACGCACAAACTGCTACGTTAGTGCATTCAATACGAGTGTCAGCCGTTAGCCTCCGTGCGTTTAAGGACTTTGAAGATAATTTGTAACGAAACAACTGGCGTATCCAGACGTTCATTGGCGTTTACATGGAGGAAAGCTTCGTTAATCAACTCCAAGAACGTAGTCGTGTAGCTTGACTCTCGCTTACCTGCGAGGTTTCTTCGCGGCAACTCTTCAACAGATAGTTAACGGGATATCTTGAACTGCTTATAAATTGCAACTTGCAAATATTGGCGGAATTGGTACGAATATTGATACGTACGTAGATCACCGCGACGAAAATCCAACTGACGATCCTAGACTAAGTTCAATAGCCATCATCACCTGCCTCGTACTCAATTTTCTGACAGTGAAGCTATTTCAACCGAGACATCCCAGCAGAGACACCCCCGGCAAGAACACCAAGAAGCCCAAAGAGATTCCAAACGCACTCAAACTTCATCCAATCTCCAGTGGCAGACAATTTGTAGCACCCAAAATGGCAGTCGACGCACAAATCCGCACCACTTCCCGGAGTAAAGGGGATTTTTGTTTGATGGTATGCCTTCGATCAAAATGTTGCCGGTGGTTGCATGTTCATAATTTCAGTTGCTAAAACTTGTGTGATCCTAAAAAGCCTGAATTCTCTCTTCATCTCGTGTCACTAATAAATATCTAGAGGGGGTTTTCTGGGAGTACCGCTTTCGGGTGAGTTGGCTTGAGTGAGGTAAGGGGGGTTGCGGCTCCCGGTAGTGCGGTACCGATCGTAGGTACTCGTTAAATGTGCGCCGTGTAGACGAACTGCTTGGTCGTGGAGAGCGGCTGCGCTGCCGGTTGGCTGGGCGAGATCACGACCTCGTGCAGCTCCACGTTCTTGGGTCTCCGACTGCCGCCGGAGCTGCGGACTTTGACGACCACGAGCAGCACGACGGCGGCCGCTGCGGCGGCGGCGATGCCCACGACTGCTGCGAGAGGGACGCCGGCGGTGCTGCTGCCTGCGTCCGCGAGGTTCCGGACCTGCTCCGCCTCGGCGGCGACCAGCGAGAGCAGCGACGCGAGCGCGAGGCAGAAGACGGCGGCGAGCGAGGCGGGCATGCTGAAGTCAAGTGAAGAGAAGTTGTAGAGCGGCGGGCGGATCTGGGCCTTGTCTTGCCAAGCGAAGAAATGCAGAATGACGAATCCGAGGCGCAGCGCGGGCGCTTCTGCTGCGGATGTTCACATCAACGCCGGCCATCGTGTCCAGGAACGTTCCTCCCCATCGTGTATCAGATTGGGGGGAAGTGCCGGCAGCATACAAACACCAAGTGTCAATAATTTGGGGATTACTGAATTAGGTTATATGGGGCTCTTGGATCGGTTTTCTGGCCGACACGCCCCGCTTTTGCCGGTTTGAAGCACGCCATGCACGCTGTATCATACAGTGTATGGGGCCTCAAGACGCTTGCTGGTGGACGCCCAAGGTGGTTGCGTGCGTGCTCGTCGTCGGCCTCGGGCTCGACCGACCGCGGCGGGAGGCTTTCTTCCGTCCAGATCCCGGGCCGCCGTGGCGGATCGCAGCAACTTCAACGCCCATGTGCAAACACGCCAGAGCAAGATGCGGCGCTGACTCGTAACGGAAAAGCTGACTACATGTACATGGAGATCCCGCCTCAGCCACGGCAGGCAGGCCCGTGGTTGTTGCCATCGAAGAGAAGTCTGCCCGGCCAAGGCAGAAACACGCGTGGCCCGGTGCGGCCGGCCCATTTGGGGATCAAGATTCGCGGGCCGCCCCGGCGCTCGACGGCGGAAGACACACAAAAGCGGGGCGCGGGCATCGCCGCCGCAGCTGCAGCCCAGCTGAGAGCCGCTCGCAATGCGGCGCTGCCGAAGGAGCAAGACTCGGAAGTTGAGGCAGGGCTCAAGTTTCCCTCGCGGCTGAGCGGATCCCTGCACCTTCCTTGCGGGCAGCGGACCAACAGCTCGTGAGTCACAGGGGCCACCACGTGAGGACTCCTCACTGAGGAGACCTTCCGACGCTCGCGCTGTCACCGCGCCAGCAGGATAAGATGCCGGCCTGCAAGAGCTGCCGCCGTGCTGCTGGTGCCGTTGGCCAAGCCGAGCTAATAACACACCACTACGAGGGTCCTTCGACCCTTCGTCTACCGAGCAGGAAGCCGGATCCGACGTTTGCGCGCTGCCCACCTTTATAGCGCGTCTTTGGGCCCAGCCCAAAGACAAGATACTCGCATTTAGGTGGTCGACTCTGCGAGTTGTACGAGTCTGGCCCGACGAATTTTGGGCAGGGCCCTGGCCGGTAGTGCTGCAGCTGGTCTGCTGCGAAATAAGGCGTTGCTGCAACTTACAGCAGTAGTTTGGACCAGCACGGGAAGCCTACCTCCTTTGCCATCGAGATCTGGCATGCGCGGCCACATGAGGCTACGGTATTCTACCAAAACCACATCGACAAATACATCTAACGCAAGCAGGCCGAAGAAATCGCCCGAGTAGCGCAAGTGGTGTTAAACGAGCTTTGTGGTGGCCGAGCAAACCTTCAATAAAGCACTGTACTTAAGAATAGAAGTTGGGAAGCGAAGCATCCTCTACAGCTGAGGCTATGGCATGTCTATCCACGACAAAGTCCATGTTGTTTGTGGGCTTCGCGCTGTGAGTCGAACAAGGAAGAGAAGAGTCCAGCTGCGATCATGTGCAAGTTGAAGTGGCCACCCAATTAGCTGCACCTATTCAGGAAGTACCCTCGCGACGGCGAGCAAACAGCTTTGATCTGCTGCGTACCATTATCCACGAACTTACCGCCAAGTACAGAAAGATATGTTCCAGTGAACCCAGCATGCTTAAGCGGCACAACCTTCATCTCGCTAAGATTTTTTCTATAGGATGCAGTGGCGCATGCGATTCGTATGATGCAAGTCTTGAGCGCTCGTACTCCCGCAACTGTACTTCTGCACCCCGCCAATGTGAGGCGTGCACCCGATCCACGTCGCGTCTGAGTCCCTACCCTCGAGACGAGGTGCGTATGCAGGCCCAAACTCTGAGCCACCTCCAGATACGCAGCGTAAAGAGGTCTTTCTTGCCCGCGACTCTGTGACCGACTTGGGCAGCGGGACGAATCCCTTGGCGAGACTCCACGCGACCAGCGCCTGCGCGGGTGTGGCGTCCAGCTCGCTCGCGATCTGCAGTAGCGCGGGGTCGTTCATCTTCTCAGCGCGCGAGAGAGGCGAATAGGCTTCCATGACGATGCTCTGGTCCTGGCAGAACTTGACCGTGTCGGCGCGAGCGAGCCACGGATGTAGTTCGACTTGGTTCACGGCGGGCTTGACGCGCCACGTCTTCGCCAGCTTGGTCAGGTGCTGCTCGCCAAAGTTGGAGACTCCGATGTCGCGCACGACGCCCTTGGCCTGCATGTCCTCGAGTGCCCTTCACGCGTCAGCACGGCTGTCGCACGGGGCGTGCAGCAGATACAGGTCAATGTATCCGAGGCCAAGCTTCTTGTTGCTTTCTTGCACTGCATCGATGACCTCCTGGTAGTTCCACGGCTTCGCAGTAGTCGTCGACCAAGGGGCCCACGACATATCGTAGAACTTGGTGGTGGCGAAGACTTCCTCGCGCGGGATGCCTGAGTCATGGACGGCCCTGCCGACGTCAACTTCGTTCTCATAAGCATCGGCAGTATCGATGTGCCTGTAGCCAAGCTTGAGCGCAGCCAGCACGGCATTGTAAACCTCGGCGCCAGGCTTGCTCTGTAACACGCCGAGCGCAACGGCTGGGATACGGTGTCCGCTGGGGAGGACCTTGGTCGGGACGAAACCGCTCATGCTACTACTGGTGGATGGTGTATCGGGCGTCTTGCTTGCTTCTTGGCGAATTGAAGAGTGTCAGTTTGCTCGCACGGGGAAAGCACTATTTGGAGACGAAGGTCATCGTAATACAGGTTGATTATGTAGGGTCATGTAGTGATGTTGATGGTGACCACGACAAATGACCAGCTTGAGCAGCTGAACGCGCGTTGATCAGCACCAAACAATGTCATTTTAACGTGCAGATATTGTTTTGTGCTGATCAACGCGCATTTTAACGTGCAGACATTGTTTTGTGCTGATCAACGCGCATTTTAACGTGCAGACATTGTTTTGTGCTGATCAACGCGCGTTCAGCTGCTCAAGCTGGTCATTTGTCGTGGTCACCATCAACATCACTACATGACCCTACATAATCAACCTGTATTACGATGACCTTCGTCTCCAAATAGTGCTTTCCCCGTGCGAGCAAACTGACACTCTTCAATTCGCCAAGAAGCAAGCAAGACGCCCGATACACCATCCACCAGTAGTAGCATGAGCGGTTTCGTCCCGACCAAGGTCCTCCCCAGCGGACACCGTATCCCAGCCGTTGCGCTCGGCGTGTTACAGAGCAAGCCTGGCGCCGAGGTTTACAATGCCGTGCTGGCTGCGCTCAAGCTTGGCTACAGGCACATCGATACTGCCGATGCTTATGAGAACGAAGTTGACGTCGGCAGGGCCGTCCATGACTCAGGCATCCCGCGCGAGGAAGTCTTCGCCACCACCAAGTTCTACGATATGTCGTGGGCCCCTTGGTCGACGACTACTGCGAAGCCGTGGAACTACCAGGAGGTCATCGATGCAGTGCAAGAAAGCAACAAGAAGCTTGGCCTCGGATACATTGACCTGTATCTGCTGCACGCCCCGTGCGACAGCCGTGCTGACGCGTGAAAGGCACTCGAGGACATGCAGGCCAAGGGCGTCGTGCGCGACATCGGAGTCTCCAACTTTGGCGAGCAGCACCTGACCAAGCTGGCGAAGACGTGGCGCGTCAAGCCCGCCGTGAACCAAGTCGAACTACATCCGTGGCTCGCTCGCGCCGACACGGTCAAGTTCTGCCAGGACCAGAGCATCGTCATGGAAGCCTATTCGCCTCTCTCGCGCGCTGAGAAGATGAACGACCCCGCGCTACTGCAGATCGCGAGCGAGCTGGACGCCACGCCCGCGCAGGCGCTGGTCGCGTGGAGTCTCGCCAAGGGATTCGTCCCGCTGCCCAAGTCGGTCACAGAGTCGCGTATCAAGACGAATCTGGAGGCCGCGAAGCTGCAGCTATCGGCCGAGCAGATCGCGAAGCTGGACGCCCTGAACTCGAACTTCATCACGGGATGGGACCCGATCCACGAGGTGTATGGCCTGCCGCACAACTAGACAGACGATCCCAGAGTACGACCTCATGGATCTCCATCCTAAACCTTCACATGAATGGGCTCTCTTAGAAGTCTTAGAAGTTGAAGTTAACAAGGAGTGAAGGTCACTGGAGCGACGTGTCTCTTCAATAATTGAAGTAGGACCACATTAAAACATTGATAATGCGACCGGAATGGAACATTAGAACGCTGTGAATTTAAAGTTTGGTTATAGTACTCAATGGCGGGTAGGGAGACGTCCTACCGGGTCAAACCGGCAATTTTTATATAGCAGCATTTGGCGGCATATTTTTTTGTAAAATATACCGTTGAAGCAGCGTTACTGTGGCGAGCCAAACGGCCATGAATGTAGTATTAACCTTCAAAACCCTTGGAAAAATGCATTGTTGGGTCTTATATTCATCAATGTAGTTTTTAAATAGATTCTTAGTAAATGAGATTATCTGGAATTCTTTGACATGCCAACAACAGAGAAACATGAACTTGATGCTTTCTTGAACCAGTGGATGTAATTCACATGCGAGCACTGGTTGCTGCCATTAATTAAGAAGGTAGCTGCTGATAGATCTGATTCATAACGTGCTTGCTACCTCGTTGCCACCAAAATATCGTTTGTTCCCGCTTCAGCGATTTGTAGCGTGCATTGTTACCAATTCAACGGTACATCTCCACGGCAAGCTAATCGAATAAGAAAGGTCTTAGGGCGATAGCGCCGCCAAAAGAGTAAAAATATGAACCTAGCAGAGGAAATACACGCGAGAACTTAGATTGCAATCTTTTGTTTTTGAGATTGTCGAGATTGATTGTTCCAGATCTGAGCCGTTAATCAATAAACAATCTACATCTCCACAACCCTGGACCAACAGAAGATGACAATGCGACTGAAGCTCCCATTGGTGTCAGACCACACTTACATGCGAGTCAAGCTTGGAAGACTTCATATCACTAATGAAGCTTTCCCAGAGCCTCTTGTAGACCTGTTGGTTGTACATATTGTGCCCAATTCGTACGTATGTTTTAAAAAGCACCAACAACTCCAACGACTGACACTGTGTTTACATGTTAACAATATGCAGCTTTTTCGTGACACATATGCTGAGTACCGAGATGAAATTGATTCGACTCTGTTGACAGCCACGATTTGGGATATTAGCTCCGACTCCAAAGAGGTCCCGCCACCAGGCCAGGTTGTTATCAATTGCTCTGGGTTGGAATTGTTCCGCGAGGATCGCTGCCGGCTCACAGTGAAGCTCCGAGATTTGGCCTGGGAGCACACCACACTGTAGTGTAAAGTAGCCCCGTCGACTCACATGGCTGCATTTAGCTTTCGCTCATTGTAAGTCAAGGTGAATCTATAGCTACAGCTCAAGCATAATAATGAGTCTACGAACTGCGTCTTTCCCCCTGGGGCACATGTCCCGGGTAAGCTATTAGATTCTCCAACGCAATATATTACCGCAAAAGCCTAGCACACTGAAAGATTTGGCAGGGATGACCTGTATTAAGAGCTGACCAATCAGTGCACACCTAATGTATCAACCCACCTTGTTTTGAAACGATGTGGTTCACATACATTATATACCTACACAACTACTTCCGAAGCAGAGACCACCACAACCGGCGAAGAGCTTGGCGGCGGCCCGAATGGAAAGAACGGACCGGCCTCTACGAACGAGGCCCGGATGGTTGCTGCCGTGATAGTTCCAAGCGCGTGCATGGAGCGCTGGAACATGTCGTAGCGGCGTTCCCAGTTCATGCGTGGCGGTGGGCGGTGCGTGTACAGCGCGGTGTAACGGGCTGTTAGACTGCTTTTGAAAGGAGACATGACTCCCACATCTAGCGGTTGAGCCACAGAGGTACAACCGGCAGGGACGTACACAATGTAGGTGCCCATTTCTGTAAGTCGTTGCCGCACGGTAGCACATTTGTGCACTTTAAGGCAGTCCAGGATGAGGACGGTCGGTCCGCTCGCCTCAAACTGACACACCTTTTCGATCCACTCAAGCATGACACGTTCGTCAAACCACGCCTTCGTTTGACACGAAAACGTAGCGACGCCCGGCTCACAGTGGGTCGACACTTCGGCGTACACGTCATTGTCGGGCTCGCCTGCAAACACGAAGTCCGGTGGCAGCATGCGGCCATCCGCGCATGCGAGCAGCGCCACGGTGCAACGGTAGCTGCCCTGGCCACCTCCAACAACAGGGACGCGAGTAACCCCGACAAAGTCCACCGTTGTGTTCGATCCCACGTCGCAGTAGACCGCAGTCTGGTCCATATTGTAGAGCACATAGGGCGGCGGCGTCGCCGTGGCAGCATCCACAAAGTGGTCAATCAGCACCTTGGTCACCTCGCACGCGAACGCATCGCGCAGCGCTATCAGCTCCCGCAGCTTCTTGCGGCCAGAGTGCGAGATGCGCCTAATAGTGAGTCAATTTCGCCGCATGAACTTGCTACACCACGATTTACGTGCGGTAGCTGTTTTGCTGTCGAGAAAGCCCGGCAAAAGCACCATGCAGTGCGCAATGATGCAATCCATCGACACGGCCCGCTCTTCACGCCGCTCGTCCTTGATCCAGCCCCGTAGTTCTTCCTCGACACATGCGGATGGCGAGACGCGGCCACTACCACCTACAGTCAGCTTCTTACCTCGCTTCTTGTCTTCAACAGCCGCCTTCATGGAGTCATAATGATGCTCCCAGTACTGTACCGTAGGACGCGAAAAGTCTCGGCCAGTGCAAAAGGCCACTCGGGTTTCACCCGATGCAGCGAAGTCCTCGACGGTCTTGATCTTGAATTCGATGGTATGGGCGAGCTTAATGCGATGCGGTGGCATTTTGCCAATGGGCCGAATGCTCTTTCCCCAGCTTTATCTACCTTGTTTTGAAATGCGCTCACATCCAACCACCTCTATACGCAATTTTGATTGGCCAATGAGCGACAACCTTGACTTTCCGAAAGACTTGGCCGGCAAAACTGCTTTAGTGAAGGGTGCCAAATCTATCAGGCTTTTGCGGTGCGCCACACCCAAGGTGAAGGGAAGAGCGATGTGTACAACACAACGACAAGTTGAAGTGGAAGTAAGCCGATCATCGCCCGGACGCAATGTCTGTATGCGTTGCCTCAGCCCCAAGCTCGATCAAGCTCGATCCCTCTGTGAGCAACTCACTCGGGCAAAGCGGCGTCGTTCCACCGCACTGTGGTGTCTACGGTGACCGCGCCGGCCCCGAAAAGCGAGGCTCGAATAGCCCTCCCACACGCCGCCCCTCTACCAGTGCCCACCGTTCAGTGCATATCTCAAGGGTTCGCAATGCGGATGCCGTCCGTGTTCACTCCGCACGTTTCAAATATCCAGTTATTGACAATAACTACAATAACTTATTGTGGTTGTTGCTCATTCCTCCCGTTGGATCCCGAGCTTGTCGTTAGTATGCTTCGCAATGGCGTCGGTTGCAGCTCCAGGTCTGTCACGCAGCAGCAGTCTCCTGCGCTGCTCAAGTGGTCGCCGTGGGTGGATGACATGCGCAGGACGATCGATACCTTCCGACCAAAACGCTACCGATTGCCAATCGGGTGGCTGTCGTCGACCGCTGGAGCGATATACACGTTGATGGGCAAGTTGCTGTGGGAGCCAGTCCGGCGTCAGCCGCGCGAGCGTCGCTTCAAGTGGTGAATCGCGCCCGCCGTCTTTGCGCGAGCCCACTGCGCATCCACCAGCGCTGCTTGTGACGCCGGCGAGCACCTAGCCATTGCCTCTACTTGCGAGCGGCGCAGAGCGCGATAGGATGAAGGAGCTGCTGTAGCAGCGGCTCTGTATGGCGTTGGTACCGACAGCACTGCGCTGAAAAGGATGGCCGACGGTCTCCTTTGCATTGTCCATCGAACGTCTATCGGCGACGACAGTGGGACGCTTCGTCGACGTCTGAAGTTCGCAAGTGGATTTCTCCATACAGTACGGCGCCAAGCTGCGAATGCTTTAGCGCTCGCCGGTGCCAGCCTCGCTTAGCCGTGCCATGCCGACCTCAAACTGCAAGCACTGCCCGGCGCCGCGCGCAAAATCCAGCTCTAAGACGCAGTAGGCTCTCTATCCGATAGTTGCCGCGGCAACTTACCGCGAGGCCGGCACCGCCCGCACCCATTTCATCTCGTCGAACAGCAATCGAGAGGTCCGTGCAGAGCCGGGCTTGTGGGTGCAGCCCAACTTCAACATGGCAAACAACCGTCCGCGACGATTGCTCTCCAGGCGCGAGCGTGTGGGGGCTCCAGTATGCGGCGCTGCATGCAGCCCGCACTGCTGCTAATTACTCGCCCACTCGGACGCGTTGCTACTATCGACTGCCGAGCGGCACGGGCAGGCACCGGTCTAGCGAATTCGGGTCGCTGAACGCGAGGTGTTGATATAGTACTTGATCGCTGAAGCCCCGCCAATTGCCGTGTACTGAGGGGGCGCATCCCCCGCGAAAAAACCGTCCGCTCTTTTTTAGCGGCGACTTTGTCGCGAGACGCACACGGCAAGTGTCAATGCGAAAATGCCCGGTATTTCGGCCGCACCTAGATCGCCGCTATGCGCCCGCGACACCGGCAGCCGCTCGATGGATCGCTGGCGATTCGTTCGCTCTTAGATCGCAAGTCCATTCTGCATTTTGCGCAGTGACAGCGACATCCACTCACTCACTCGACAAGTCGAGTCCCGGACCAACTACACCAACTGCTTTCACGGCGGCAATGAAGATCTCGGCCATTGCGACGTTCAGCGTGACAGCGCTACTGGTGGTGGCTGCCGCTGAGGAGGGCAGCGCCACGCCGTACCCGACAACGGCCACGACCATGACCACGCCCGTGTACGACGACGACCTGGGCTGCTGGGCCATCAGCGTGGAGCACGACGCGACCTACTGCATCAACGGACCCATCTGCAGCGGCTCGGGTGCCTCGCCCGCTGGCACGCTTTGCCCCGTCAAGGGCGACGTCGCTATCGCTGACTGCCACTCGTACCTGGCGAGCTACAGCAGCGACGATAGCTGCGTGCTGCCGGTGGACGCAACGTGCCAGGTCATCAAGACCGGTGCGTGGGGCTGCGTGCTCTCGGGCTCGGCCACGCCGGCACCAACCACCACTTCCACCTGCGACGACGGGAGCTGCGAGGAGGAAGCGACCCCGGCTCCGACCAAGACGTGCGACGGAGACTGCGAGGAGACCATCGCGACTCCATGCCCCACCGCGACCACGACCACGGTGCCGACGTCGACCCCGACAACCACAGCGACTCCGTGTCCGACAAGCACCAAGGTGCCGACGCCAACTGCAACGGTAACGCTTTGCCCGGAACCGACCACGAAGCCGTGCCCGACCTGCACCGAGGCTCCCACGGCGACCCCGACGTCCCCTCCGACGCCGACGCCAACCGCGTGCACCGGCAACTGCACTCACAGCGGCAGCGGTTCGTTCTCCGGCAACGGCAGCTACGTGGGCAACAACACGATCAAGGCCGAGACGACCGAGTCGACATCGTCTTCTAGCGGAGTTTCGGCCGGTGTGATCGGCGCCATTGCGGCGGCCGCGGCCGTGGTCGCTGTTGTTGCAGGCGCCGCCATCTACAAGCAGTACAACAAGAAGCTGGACGAGGAGGCGGCCCTAGAGCACTACCACGTCGACGTGGTGACCCCGTAAAGCGCGCGGAGAGAAGATCTTCTTCCTCTCCACGAGGAAGACGGCGACGACATCTGCCGCTGGGTCGGCGGGGCGTACGACCAAGACTGTCCGCGCTGCATTCGAGTGCCTCTACTTGCTTGTTCTCATTGTCTCTACTACTTAGCGCAGCGCTTGCTACGGTAATTTTCCTCCTTTTTGACAAAAATCACATTGCGGACGGTCTCAATACGTGTTCCATACTGAACACGACTCAAAATGTTCAACGTTTATGCAATATTTTGACAACCATCGATCCCCCGATCCCGTAGGCTTTTCGCGAAATTGTGCATCCACTTCAACCGCCCGACCTCTGCCAAAAGGCAACTTTTGCTTGCCTTCTTAGTCAATGTCTTAGTCTAAGAGCCGACACTTCGCTCACGTGCGTTGCCTCGACTGCTGCAACTGCTGGCCCCCATCTCCTTGTGATCTGGATACCGCAGAACGCGCGCTTGCCTTTTACTGTTTGCCCCGAAGCAGCTCGCCACTGGCCAGACCGGAGCTCAGCTCATTCTACATTTTGCGGCGAAGGCGACAGAACCCCCCGCTCGACAGCTCGAGACCAACCGCAACAGTCCCAACACCCAGCGGCGATGAAGCTCTCGGTGATCTCCAGCTACTGCGCGCTGCTGCTCGCGTCCGCGGCCGCCTACGAGCCGACGCCGGCCCCGACCGCCACCGAGCCGTACTACGACGAGGAGCTCGGCTGCTGGCCCGTCAGCGTCGAGCACGACGCGACCTACTGCATCGACGGCCCCATCTGCAGCGGCTCAGGCGCGTCCCCCGCCGGCTCGCTCTGCCCCGTCAAGGGCGACGCAGCCATCGCCGACTGCCACTCGTACCTGGCCAGCTACACGGGCGGAGAGAGCTGCGTGCTGCCCGTGGACGCGACCTGCCAGGTCATCAAGACCGGCGCCTGGGGCTGCGTCATCCCGGGATACCCGACGCCGGCCCCCACCACGTACGAGCACGCCACGCCCGCGCCGACCAAGTACGAGCACGAATACCCCACCCCGGCGCCCACCAAGTACGGCAACACCGGAGGCAACAACGGCAACCAAGGAGGCAACAATGGCAACCATGGCGGCAATGGCAACCATGGCGGAAACGGAGGCAACGGTGGTAATGGCGGCAATGGCGGAAACGGAGGCAACGGTGGTAATGGAGGCAATGGCGGAAACGGGGGAAACGGTGGTAATGGAGGCAACGGCGGCAGTGGCTCCGCCGGCAGTAGCAGCGCCGGCAATGCGACGATCTCTGTCGCCGTGCCGGGCGCGGAGGCGGTTTCATCCGGCGGCATGTCGGTCGGCGTGATCGGCGCTGTTGCGGCGGCTGCAGCTGCGGTGGCGGCGATTGCCGGCGTGGCCATCTACAGACAGCACGTCAAGAGGGCGCAGGAGGAGAAGGAGAGCGTGATGGTGGAGGTCGTGACGCCCTAAGGGCGAACGTGTTGACAGCGACGAGCTGTACGACGATGACAACTACTAGCGAGCTGAGTCTCCTACTTTTCCTGCTTTTGAGTTTTTAGTTTTGGGCCTGCGTTTACGATGAAAAATGCACCACTATTTCCCCATATTTTTGTCGCAATGCGTATGCTTATGATACGTACATGCACAGATGGCGATCTTCTGCTTTACGTCATGTACACGTGGTTTAGCTTTTGATACACCCTTTAGCTCGCCTTTCGAGCAGCAACACGCCCAGCCGTCCCAGAATTAACCGAGCTTGTAAGCAGCGCTTCCCCTCCTGGTCAGCACGAAGTAAAACTATAAGAAATGTTTCCAAAACATAATCAAATTGTTCTTCTTCGTCCTTATCCGTGTAGTGGAGAACGCGATATCTCGGGTCCTCTCAACCAACAACCAGTGACAATTGAAGACCTCGATTCGCTCCAGTATCTGCAGCCTCACCGCTTTACTGCTCACCCCGCCCCCCCCCCCCCCCCACGGGCTCGCAGACCGCGATCACCTCCTTGTCGAGCTCGATCTTGGGCTCGGATATTTCCACTCGAGCCTGGATCAATGCTCCGACCACCACCTCGTCGATCACGACGCAGCCTACTGCATCAAGGGGGCCATCTGCAGCGGTTTGGGTGCGTTCCCCTGGCGGCACGCTGCCCCCCCGTTAACGGCGCTACAGCCGTCGCCGACTGCCACTCGAACCTGGTCAGCTACAAACGCAGCGTCACCTGCGTGTTACCTGTGCACTCCACGTGCCAAGACCGGCGCCTGGCGTCGCTTTCTCTCCGAAGATAATGAAGGCGCCGGTTGCACTGGTAGTTTCTCCGAAGATAAAATGATCTCGCTTGCGGAGGGGAAGACGCAGACAACTTCGTCCGGCGGCGTGTCAGCGGGTGTGATCGGTGCTGTGGCTGCAGCAGCTGAGGCAGCCATCGCCGGCGTGGCCATCTACAAGCAGCACGGCAAGGGAATGCAGGGTTCCTCCCAGGACGATGCGGAGATCGTGACAGGCTTCGGGTGAGGGGTTAGAGCTCCGGTTTGTCGCGTTTGCTTTAGCTTTGAGTTTGTTTTGTGGGCTGTAACTTTGAGCTTGCATGTTGCTTGAGAAGTCGAGGAGATCCAACAGGCCTGTGTTGATGTATTTCTGCTTGGGAGTTTTGGAGCGAGCGTTTACGTTGGATCAATGCGCGTCTCTTGCCGCAACTTGTATTGTGGGCTCCACTCTAATTTTCCGATCGGGGCGGATTGAATCGACTGTGGCAAACCGCCGGCGAATCGCCAAAGCACTTGGGTTGACTATGGCCGCCCGGCTATGCCCCCTTGACTCTCTACTAAGTACGGATTGGGCTTGACATGCGGACACAGAACCATATGTATGTTGGCCGGCGATTCGAGTTCAAGCAGCCCCTTCATGCGACGCTCAGCAAATGACTTGATGTTTGTATTGGGCGGTTGGACAGGGGCCCCAAAACCGACCCGATTCGTCAAATTTGGCCGGAATTCACAATAGGTTTTCCCGTAATCAAAAATTAAACTGAAGATCAGGATTGCGCCGCTTCAAAGGTACACCTGCTCTTACAGTACCACATGCTTCAGTCTCCAACGAACAGTACATGCGGGGTTGCCTTCGATACGCGGATCTGGCGCTTTCGAGTTTTTTCAAAGCGACCCGAACGTGAAGTATCTCCTCCCACCGTGCTGGTGCCTGACCGCCATCACGAGCTGGTCGAGGCCGGCGGTGTTCGAATCGCAAGCGTCTCTGCGCCGATGGTGGCTTCAATATGGTGTTAGGCCCCAAATCTTCAAAGACCGAGGCCGTGCACGAGCCGTGATGGAGCCGTAATCGGACTTAACCCGGACTTAACAAAGCGATGCAGCCCGAAAATGGTGGCCGACAGCCACGGCCGCGCGACGATCGCTATGGAGTCGTCGTCCATGGTCTTCTTGCTGCGACTACCAGACTGCTGTGTATTGTAGACGGCTCGGCGATGTCTGTATCTCAGGGAGCGTTGCTGCGACGCGATCAAACAGTTCGGCCAGCAGCGTGTCACGATGGTATGCTCGCCAGATCATCCGGCCGGCTCCCATCTCTGCGGCCTTGCACCACATCTTTTCTCACCGGCTTGCCGGTCTCCGCCCCCGCCACCGTCCATTCTCGAATCCGCAGCGGCGCGTGAACAGCTTTCCAGCAGCAGCAGCAGCAGCAAACAACACACAGACAGCAATGAAGACCTCAGCGATCACGACTCTGGCGGCGGCCATCCTGGCCGGCACGGCGGCAGCGGCCAACAACGCAACCACGTCCACCACCAACAGTACGACCAGCACGACGACCACGACCTCGGGCTGCTGGGACGTCAGCGTCGAGCACGACGCCACCTACTGCATCGAAGGCCCGATCTGCAGCGGCTCCGGCCTCGAGCCCGAGGGCTCGCTCTGCCCCAAGAAGGGCGCCGTGGCCACGGCCGACTGCCACGACTACCTGGCCAGCTACGGCAGCGACGGCAGCTGCGTGCTGCCCGTGGACTCCACGTGCCAGATCATCAAGACGGGCGCCTGGGGCTGCGTGCTCTCCTCGAGCAGCAGCGCCAGCGGTGAGGGTGCGACCGACGCTGGCGAGACCGGAAGCGGCAGCGGCGCCGTCAGCGCGACGGTGCTGGCCGCAGAGCAGGCCGCCTCCTCGTCCAGTGGCCTCTCGGCGGGTACCGTCGGTGTCATTGCCGCGGCCGCCGGGTGCGTCGCGGCCGTTGCCGGATTCACGCTGTACAAGCAGTACCAGAAACACTCGGCTGAGGCGGCCGAGCGCGCGCGCCTGGAGACGTTCGTGGACGTCGTGACGCCTTAAGCGGATGCGGTGGTGTTGACGCACAGGCGGTAAGTCGCCTACGGTCTCTCACTCACTCGCTTACGCTTGGACGCGTCTCGGACGAAGAAGGCCAGCTAGCGAGCGTCTTCATTATTCAGCGCCTTCTTCGCCCTACTATTTTGGATCTTTTTTTCTTAATCAATATGACACGCTTCGTGGGATCAGTTGACGAGTATTGTACAGAATTCTGTCCGAATAAGGAACGGGTGTACAACTAATAGTCTCACATATTTAATATTATTTTCCAGTCGATGTGGCGATAGGGGGATGTGCAAGGTACTGCAAGGTACTGAGGTGAAAAATCCAGTGCCAATCATCAGCTCTCCACCCTCGTTTGAACAATGGCGCACATTTAGCGATCTTACTAGACTTCAAACTACATGCACCGTAGTGGTAGACTCGCACTTTTTCTTTTGCACCTCGCCCCACAAGCCCACCTCCTCCCCCACTCCATCCATGAAGTCCACACCGTCCAAGCGTCTCCGCCTCACTTGGTCTGAGAAAGTGGGCATCCTCGACAAGGTGAAGGGCTAGATAATCCCTACGAGGTCGACCAGTTGACAGCGCTGTTGTGGTGCGAGGATGCCTGGTCAAAGGTTAGTGCTTCGACCATACGCCACTGTTGGAATCATTCCGGACTCTTAGGTCATCAGTTCATTTTGAAATAAATAAATCAGTACATTGGAAAAGTATACTCAACTTAACATCAATTTATATATTCTGCGTCTTTATATATCAGGCGTTCCTTACTCGGGCAGATTACGAGTGTGCGGTGGTGCCACCAGGCTTGGCGGTGCATGTGTCGAAGCACTACCCTGGATTTGTGTCCGACATACCCATCTGTATGAAGAATCTGGAAGTGCACAAGCGGCTGCTGCACAAGACGACTGCTGAGGCTGGGCGAAACGACTACGGAGAAGGTTCGACGTCGTTTGGCAACATGTGGGGTGTTCTGGCCGACAAGGCTCGAAAGTCTGTGCGCGCCATCATACCGAAGCGTCGTCCTCATGGCGGACCTCTGACGTACGACGAGGAGAGTCGTAACCGGCACGTTTCATCGGATCGTGTTTTGGTGGAGAACTACTTTGGCCGCACGACGATACTCTGGCGCGTGGTGAGCACTACGTTCACGTGGAGTGAGGCAAAGTTCGACAGGATCGTGAACATCTGCGTGGCACTTACCAACTTTCACGCCAAGTTGCATCCTCTACGGGCCGATGACCAGGATCGGTACTCGCAAATTTTGACGAGTTACGTCTCGATGTCTGAGGCTCAGCGCAAAAAGCGCGAACGCGATCGCGTCTTTGCGGAAGCCAAGCGAGCCAGTGCCCGTTTATCCGTCGAGTCCACGGCTTCCAACTCAAGCTCAAGCTCCCACTCAAGCATGCGCGCACACGATCCCATGCCAGTACAACCGGAGCCCGCAACTCTTTCAGTGCGACGACAAGCTCCTCGCCCGGATCAAGCCCATGCTCTGGTCTTAGCGCGATTCTGGGCTCTCAGACCTCGACTGTTATGGGCTCCCAAGAACTCTCGTAGGAGGTTTAAGCTCATGAGCCCACAGTAGTGAAACTTCACTACTAGTTTTCTGCATTCAATACATACATGCATATTGCTTGCAATCGTTAATATGTGTTCTAATTAGATCTACTCACTCTTAAGGGTTTTAGACACTTAAACAATGTATGAACCATAGATCATCGAACTGACTTGACATTTGTATGCAAAAAGTCATTAGAAGTATGTATGAACTACCGATCATTGAAAAGGCATAAGATTGACAGCAAGTATTCGACTTAACTTCAGTAAGCACGTTCCATCACCGAAATTAGTCATTTGGATGCACCTAAAGCAAACTTAGATAAAGTATGCACAGCCAGTCACGGTGCTACTCGAATAAGATTTTTGGGTTGACGAAAACATAAGATTATCTTATAAACCTTTTAAATTTTATAAATTATAATTTTGTAGAGATATTTACTCAATGTAGTCACTGTCTGAGTCGTGCGCACTTTCCGGGGATGATGGCGAGGATGCGGTGATGTCAACGACATCAGGCACCGGATAAGATGCTGGCAGAGGATAAGATGCTACCGGACGAGTTGGAACAGGTGCCTCGTTGACAGAATCCTCGATGTCGGCGCTGACCAGGTTGAGGAGAGCCCGACACATGGGACAAACAGCGCGACTCCCATGACGCTGGTACACTTCAAGCAGACAAGTTGTACAAATAAAATGCTGGCACGATGTCCCCGAAATTGGGTCCTCTACATCTTCGCAGCATATAGCACACTCGAGGGTTGCTGCCAGCGGAGTCGCCGGAGGCGATGCAGCGAGGGCAGTATCGCTGATCATAGATTCCACTGTAACCATTTCGATAGGGACGGTGGTTGACACGCCATCGGCAGTAGTAGCAACAACAATGGCAGCAGCCTGTACCTGGATAGACGTAGATGCTCCGTGTCTTCGCTGGTGATATCGCACCCGCGCTTGGGCGTTGATTTGCTCCTTCGTCAACGATGCACGGGAGGCTTCTGGCAGACGCGATGCTCGAGGTGTCGGCGAAGGCTGCTGATGCTGGAGAACACCTTCCCGCAGAAATGGCATCTGCGCGCCATTTTTGAAATGAGAGCATTCAAAGAATCATACAAGGCCTTATCTATATTTGTACTTAAGTACCTCAGCGGGCTGAACCATCAAAATAAGCTCTCAGCTTTCTTCTTTTAGCCTTGTTTCGCTGTTGAGCTCGTAATTCGAAGCTGCACTGTTCAAAGGAAAGATTCTAGAAGCTGATTATATTCGGAGCGGCATCTTATCATGGAATGCTGTAGTCTTTTTACCTCACAGTTGCGCAGTTAGAAAATATATCGACGGCGTGCAGATATAGCGCTTCTCTCTTCTAATTTCGACTTTTTGCTTGCTATTGTTATACACGCTATAAATTGTATAAATAATTGAATTGCGCAGTACATAGCGAACTAGTTAAGTCTTCTATTACCTACCTTATTTAGTTATAATGGGTTTTTAGTTATAATGGGGAGCCAATCAGTGCTCTTAATTCGTACAGCGCGATTGCCCCAACGCGATGTCGTGATTGAAGTACCGCATGTAATTTACGGCCACACCTCCCCCCGCACAAGTCAAAATGCCGAAAGGCAGAACGAGGATCACAGGCCCCGGGCGAAAACCGCCTAAGTCAGCCGTTCAAAATGAGAGCCCCAGATCGTGTATTGATGGCTCGGTGGATGAACGAGACGTGGAATGACATGGCAACGTCTACCATTTGCAACGGGTTCCGTAAAGCAGGGATTATTGACAAGCCCACGATTGATCAGCAGTGTGAGCTGCCTTCTCTACTAGAGGACGACGAGGGGGAAGGCGTGCTTGCATTGCTCCAGGCTGCAGGACTTCTCGATACGGAAGTTGGCATCATCGATCCAGACAATGACTTTGATCCGTAGGCAGAAATAAATTTCGTAATATATGTAGATGAGTGAAAAGTTGATAGTAATTTACTGGAGTGCCTGAGTTGTTGAACTTGGGTCGTCTGCTGCAGGAAGCACTCACCCAAAATTGTACCACCCCCCATTATAACTAAATAAAGTCGGTAAGCATATGTACGGAATCGTACAGTACGATCCCTAAATTGGCATACTTGTTTTGTCAAAATCCAGCTCTCGGCGTGTGTACATGATTGAGTAGACTGGTCGTTCTCCATGAGCTGCACATTCCTCTACTGTACTGTAGAGCTATTCAGCACCATCGAAGTGTCGAGAGCTCCATGACACTACCGTGGTTACCGTCTTCGTCGTTGTGAAATTTTCGAGAGACCGCGATGGAAGTCGTAGTCTCGTTATGCGAAGCCTTGACCGTCGTGACGATGGTGGTGGTCTCGTTTCAAGCATGGGGCGCGGTTGCCAAGCTTTGTCGTGCCGCCGTGCGTATACCGCCGGCACTGGGTTCTCTCCAAGTTCTCCTCTTTCTCTGCTTCGGTCGCCGTGAAGGCACAAGCAATGAGACGTAGGTCAAACGAAAGTTGAGCCTTCAACACAAGTGTATCTTGAAGGGATGTAAACCGCTCTCATATCTTCTGCACAAATTGACATTGTGGCTGTGAAATCTATCTAAATCTACGGTCGCCACTGACACAAAGTATTCTGCTTCACTGCCAGTTCTTGAGCGCCACCTGTGACTTGAAGGCGTCGTAGCGGCACTTGCCGTAGGCCAGGAAGTCGAAGTCGATGTCGGACTGCGCCGCCTGGATGTAGCCCCAAATGGACCAGAACATATGAGACGCTAGCGAGTACGTGTTGGCCTCCAGTCGCAGCTGCTCGATCTCGTTCTCGCTCACGTCGCTCTCGTCGCCGTCCTTGCCCGCCAGGTACGCGCGGCAGAAGTTGCGCTGCTGCTCCTTCGTCGGGTACTTAGAGAAGTCGCCCAGGTGCGCGTTCACCGTCTTGTGGTAGTCGTACGCCCACTCGCAGAAGTGGTTGCCCACGTCGTAGCCGCGCGGGTTGTAGCTCGTGTACTCGAAGTCGATGAGCACGGCGTCGCCCGCGTCGTTCTTCATGATGTTGCCGTACTGCAGGTCGTTGTGGCTCAGCACGATGGGGGACGGCACCTGCGCCAGGACCTTCTCCAGCTCGTCCACGTCCTTGGCCAGCTGCTTCAGGTCCAGCACGCCCTGGAACTTGTCGGCCGTGCACTTGACGCGCGCCACCTCTAGCAGCTTGCGGATGCTCGAGAGGTACGTGGGCTTGCGGTCGATGTCGATGTCCAGCTCGTGGAAGACGCGCAGCTGCTTGGCGATGATGCGGGACTCCTCGGGCTGCCGCATGCGCTTGCTGGTGTACGTCGTGCCGTGGATGAGCTTCTCGGCGCGGCCGTTGGCGAACTGGCCCAGCAGCTCCACGCCGATCTTCTTGTCGCTCAGCAGCTGGAACAGCCGCGTCTCCTCCACGCGCGAGAAGAAGGACTCGGTGCCCTCGCCGTACACGCGCACGAGCACGTCGCGGTGCTTGCCCTCGGGCTTGTGCACGGCGAAGATGAGGTTGGTCATGGCGCCGCCCAGGTGCTCCACGTCCACGCTGTCGGGCTCGACGTCGCTCCAGCTCGGGACGCTCTTGGTCAGCGCGGACACGAGCGAGGCCTGCAGGTCCAGCTTGGCGCGGCTCATAGCCGCCGCGGCCTCGAGGTAGGGCCCCACGCGCAGCGTCGCGTCCGTTGAGATGCGGGGCTCCATGCGCGCAAAGTGGCGAGAGGGGAAGTCACGCCCTGGTTGCGCGCAGAGCTCTCTGAACTGATACTGCGCGCATTCAGCTGGCACAATATTAATTTGGAGAGAGATCTGTCTGTCGTGGGCAGGAAGGCAACGAGCTGCTTCGGGCTGGGGCAATCGATGCTCGAAGCGCTGCGAGGAATCGAGGATTCTGAAGTGTGAATGCACAAAATAAAAGAGAACCTTGCAGAACAGCGTGTTCATCGGGTTGATTTGGCGTGTTCAGAAATTGGATACCGTACTGTACCATTGCCTCCGTCCAGGATCGATTGCCTTCAAGCACAGCTTTACGTTAGAACTCATAATGCTGCTGTTGCTACGCCACCGGTTCCACTAAAATGTTGCCTGCCTCATCGGTCGATATCATCGAACTGCTCGTACATTCTCGGGGTCATACCGCCCCGCAAACCACATCCTAACATCTAGACCATCAGGTTGGGCGCGACCTCGCCTACTATCGACGGCGTTGGCGGCACGTTCTGGTCGCAGGCGCGCTTGCTCTGCCCTTGCTGGCCGCGCTGCCTCGCACTGCTCTCGCCGATCGAAATGCTGCTGTCTGCACTCAAAATCGCGCTCGCGACCGCGCTTGTCGGGTACGGCTTCGACTTGGGGCGGCCGCGCTTGCGCGCTACGATAGGGGCTCTTACCTCGTGGTTTTCCTCCAGCTCCGAGTCCAGCAGCAACTCAATGCTGCCTGTGCGTTGTAGGTCGTACTGCTCGGCGAAGACGCTGACGCTGTAGCACGCGTCCACGTAGCCCGACTCCTCGCCCGAGCGCTTGAAGAAAGTCAGCCCAGCAAGAAAGTGCCGGCAAGGCACACCCATCTGGAACAGGTACGCGCATGAGCATGTGCGTTGGCTGAAGTCCACGCGGTAGCGCCGAGGCGGGAACGAACGAGACTCGGTCACGAAGAGCACGTCTTCATCGCTGGGCTGCACCACCTGGAAGTTGGCTGCTTCGCGCTGCTCCGCAAGTAGCTTTTCCGCATACTCGGTAAAGACCTTGCCCTCTTTTACCCACTTCTTAGCGTGCACGCTCTGGTTGTAGGCGTGCGTCATGAACTTTTCCATGTAGTACTGCATGAAGTCGTACGGCGGCAGCGCCAGCAGCGACTTGTTGTCTTCAGCTGAGAACATCGTTGTGTTCCACCCATAGAGCTTGACCTGCTGCGCGACGCAAAACAATGTCCACGTGCGCGGATCCAGACCCCGCAAGTAATTTTCCGCTGCGGGACACGTCAGCCCGATCATGCTCAGACACGAATTGAACTCTGCGTCGCTGTCCGCAGCCTGCGCGCGCCACACCAAGTCCTCCACCTGCACGGTCGCCAGGTTCTTCACCATGACCTTCAAGTTGGCGATAATGTGTTGCGTGCACTGCCTCAATGGCAAGCCCAGTCCTTCCGCAGCAGCCACCAATCCTCTCGTTCTGTCTGCGATCACGACTGCTCTCGAGAAATCAACCTGCGCCTGCTGGCAGTGCATCAAGAACCAGCTCCAGTTCTCCGCGTCCGGCTGCGCGCCCACGGCCACACACAGCGGGAGTACTTCGTTGTTGCCGTCCTTGCCCAGCAGCATGAACATCTGCCCGCGGTAGTTCATACTCACCAGCGGGGCTGTATCCAGCCCGAACACGGGCTGCAGTCCCCTGTCCTGGTACCCCTTGAGGAACGGGTGCGACAGAAACGCCCGCTTGAACACGTTAGACGCTGTGTCGATCTCGAACGCCACGTGGGCGCCGTTGTTCTTGCTCTGGAAGCCTCGCAGCAGACTCTCGAGGCGCTGGAATCCTTTCGTGAACTGCCCCGCCGCCAGGCGCAGCAGGCGGTCGCGCACGCGGTACGCCTTCCTGGCCGAGATGGTCTCTCCACTGGTCTGTTGCAGTCGCTCCTGTAGCTCCTTGACGCTGGCGGCCGCAGAGCTCGACGCGTTGTCGGCGTCGGCCAATAGCACGGCCGCGGCCTGACGGACTGTGAGCTTCGGGGCGCCGGCGCAGTCGGGCGCGTGCTGCGCCTCGAAGGAGCTGACGAAGAAGTGGGAGCTCTGCGCGCTGCGGCTCTTCAGCAGCTTGATGCGGAAGCCGCAGGGCGGCGTGCGGCTGGCGCAGACGTACTCGTACTGGGCGCCGCCCGACTTCTTCTTGTTGATGACCAGCCGCTTGCCCTGCGCCTTGGCGAAGTCCTGGAAGAAGGCGGTGGCCGTCGGCCGGTCCAGGAACGTCAGTCCGCGCCGCAGAGTGAGCTCGCGCCCGTCCGAGGCCTTCACCGTCACGCCCGGCGCGTCCGCCGACACCTGGACGCTACGCGGCATGGCTGAATGGTAAACGCCAGAGTGGGTGCGGCACTCTCATTGTACCCGTTTTATGGTACATTGATCCGAAGCCTCAGATTGGTGTGGTCAACGCTGATGGGGCTCGAACAGTAGCCCCATCCTCAATACAAGCCTCAAACTTCGGGGTTCGGCTTGTCGGATCGTTTCCTGATCTATCGCTGACAAGGGTTCAAAGGCCTTTGAGGCTGTGACTATTCAGGGTCTCGGAACATCCAAGGAGCTAGCCTAACGACAAGGGGAGCGGTTCCTCGTCGCAATGCACTTCATCGCATGAGTGCCTCCTGGATTTCTGCACATCTTACCACGTTGAAGCGCGTGCTCTAATTACGAACTCTGCAATGGGGCCATCTTCTAGGTGCCGCTGGTTGCTGAATGTCATTTTTCCATTCGCCGCCAGCCCACCTCCAGTTCCAGCCATGAAGCTCGCCATCCCTTCGCTCCTGGTCGGTTTGGTGCTTGTTAGCATTGCCTCGCCGCTAAACCTGGTCGCGGCGCAGGATGAGCAAAGCGACCCCACGCCTGCATCACTTGTCGCCTCAGGTGTACTCGAGAACCGCACGGTGACAACCAGCGCCTTTGTCAATGAAACCACGACTGTTGTCACGACGGTCCTTTGGACGGAAGAAGAGCAGGTTGAGGAAGAAGAAGAGGACGGAGACGCTTCACTGAGCAGCACTCCCGACGCCACTGCGGAGCCTCAGACTGACGACAACAGTCCAACCACGTACCTGGTTAACGAAACGATCATCGTCGTCACGACTGTCCAGGGGTACCGCAATGTGACCACCAGTGTGCTAAGGGTCTTGACGCCTGTCGACGAAGTTGCTGATGACGATGATCAAGTAGAAGATGGCGATGACGATGGGGTCAAGGAGTTGCTTGACCCAGCGGTAGCTTCAACGGTCTCAAACGCCAAATAGCGGCTCGACTACCAGCGTGACGCTATCACCGTCATAGCTAAAAATCCTGTAGCCATAACAAACATATATCAATTCACTCATTCCCGCCCTTGAGGCCGATGCATCTTGTTTACTTCTGCTTGAGTACAATGTATATGCATTGGAAGCGCAGCGATTCCATCATCTCTATTCGACAATTCGATTAGAATTGGATGCATTTTAGCCATGCAACGCGCCCAGAACGCGTATCCTTTATTTGCATCCGCATCAAGGCCCCATCGTTATGTCCGCAGCGTGACATCGAGCTAATTTGGTTGTGCGACTTCATCCCATTCTCTGAAAACCGGTGACAACGTCTCCGGAGGTTCTGATCAGCGGAACGATGCCGTTAATTTTTACAATTTTTCATATATCGTTGGCGTTGTTTCCCATCCATATCGCCGTCGCCAAACAGCGGCTCCTCAGAACCTCGCTGTCCACCATTGACTTTCGTGGAATCTCCAATTGAGCTGTTGTTGATGCTGCTCTCAACTGGGTACTTCATTTTTCCATTCGCTCGGATCCACACAAGTCTATCAAGTGGCTACTATCACCACCATGAACCAGTTTGGTACCGAGTCAGCGGACTTCGACAGCACGTATGGCGATGAGGAAGGGGGGTTATTTACTGACGATCTGGGCTCTGACAGCGCCGACACCAGCGACAGCCCAGGAGACAGTGATACAGCGGCCTCCGACCTCAACGAGCAAGCCCTGTTCACTGGGTCGTTCTCCGACTCGGGGTATATCGAGTGCACGGACGTCAGCGTCGAGGGCGACGCTATTTACTGCCTCCCGGAGGACCAGGTGTGCAGCGGTGTGGGCGATGCGCCTGCAGGGTATGCTTGCCCGCTCAAGGGTGAAGTCGCTGTCGAAAATTGTCAAGCCAGTATGATGAGCTTCCTGAACGGCGAGTGTGTGGCCCCACGTGACAGCATCTGCCAGAAGATCGCCGGTAGTTCGTGGGGCTGTGTGTGGGACGATCAACTGGAGGATGCCACCGCCACCGCCACGACCACCACCACGTCCAAAGGAGGAGACGTCAATTCCAACACCAACACGAGAACTGGCAAAGGAGAAGCCTCCGCTGCTAGCTGCAGTGGCTCCAAGACCACTACCGACAATGCCGAGTGCACGAACGTCCGCGTCGACGGAGACGCCACGTTCTGCGTCACGGGCCTCGCTTGCAGCGGCGACGGGGACTCGCCCATTGGTGATCGCTGCCCCGTCATGGGCGACGTGGCTGTCGGTGACTGCCACGACTACCTCGCCAGCTACTCGAACGGCAAGTGCATCGCTGCGAGCGACGGCGTGTGCAAGAGGGCCTCGACCGGCACGTGGGGCTGCGTCTGGAGCAGCAGGGACAACGCCGCGTCCTACGTGATCGACACCTCGGACGGGAACACGACAGGCACCGGCACTGGCAGCGACCAGGCCTTGGTCACTGGAGTCGCCGCTGCTGCAGCAGTGGCGGCCGTGATCGCGGGTATCGCCGTCGCCTGGTCCCGCCACAAGCGCCAGAACCAGCGTCGCGCGCTCACCGAGGAGCGGATCGGGATGGTCCTTACACCGCCCGGGTCGGCGCGCGGCTCCTTCCACCGCGTGTAGGTCGGACGGCACAGCACTACGTGTAGTACATCGTCTAGCACGTCGTGGACTAATACATGTACCAGTTTGAACGCTTGCGGATTGCTACAGACAACGACTTACAAAGCCGGCATGCTTAATGCCATCCTCCTATATAAAAACAACGATAAATTCCCTCCCGTCAAATCTGTAAAACTGTCATAAAACACACGGCGTGTTGCATAAAGTACACAAGAAAGCATATAAAGTACACAAAACCAGATGGTATACAAAGATGAAGTCATTTGATTGAATCTGATTGGCTGGTTTGCTTATGTTAAGCTTTGCTTGACTTCGTCTGCCGGCTTTTTGTGTCTGCCGGCTTTTTGTGTCTGCCGGCGTTGTAAGTCGTTGTCTGTACCTTCTTGCACTGCAACATGCAGTCCCGGCTACGCGGAGGACAAGCAGCTGATTTGACGCTCGTCGGCGCGGGCACAAATTGCAGTGAGAAGGTCGGTCTCATTTCCGCCGATGCTGAGCGGCTATACAGCACCGTTGCTTGGTTGCTTGCTTGCTGGTGTGCGAGCGGGCGAACCACACGTGACTCACGTGAGCTGTGAATTAAAGCTCGTCACAAATAACGCAAAGCTGCCAATAACGCGACGCTCGTCGACTTCACTTTTTGATGGACGGACCGGGAGGATGGACGCCCAGGACCAGCTGGTTTTGGACACGGCCATTTCTGCATCACGTTTCCTGCATGGTGGCTGCCAGCTTTCGGTCAGCGTCGGGGCGTGAGCAGCACACGGGCGATGGCTCGAAGCCTGCCAGCCAGTCGGCTACATGTAGCGAACCTGGGCTCACCGATCCCAGGAAGCTGAGCCGGAGCCGTAGGGTATCTATCGTAACAATAAACACGCGCGTGGGAACACGGCGTCCCGACAAGGGTCCACTTTTGGCGTTGAAGTGAGCCAGCCACTCGTATCTCCGGCGGAGACTCGGCCTGTTTTTCCTTTGAGCTCGCTCCTGTGTGTGCTGATCGCGGCTCCTCTCTCGTCGCACATGGCATTTTTCGCTTCTCGCGGGCTGTGCATGCGCGGCGGCGATGGCCGCCAGCAGGTGTCGACTCCGACCAAGGCCCAGCTCAGCGTGGGGCAGAGAACTCTGCTAGGTCTCTCTATCCGCCGGCTCGGGCCAGCTGTTAAAGCAAAATGAGAAGCTCACTTGCACTCAGTATGGTCCACCTTAAGTACGATTGTAGAGATACGCTGGCAGCGACGCAGTGTAGCGCAGCGTCATTTCTCCTTTTGCCTCGCGCCGCCCAAGTCGAAGTCGCCGCCTTGCTAGGACCCGCAACTCGTACCCACATTCGCATTCACATTCACGGACCATGGCGTTCAGCAACAACAACAGCAGCAGCAGCAACAACAACAGCACGACGGAGGCCGCCGTGATCGTGGCGCCCTACCTGGCGGCCGTCGCCGTCGTGGACAAGGCCAAGCTCAAGCTGCAGGCCTCCATCGTGTCCGCGCTGACCAAGAGCGTCCCGAGCTGGAGCGACGTCGAGCCCGACAGCGTGGACGTGGAGCACCTGGGCGGCGCCATGACCAACCTCATCTTCGCCGTGCACAAGCCCGAGGGCAAGCACCGCGACGTGCTCGTGCGCGTGTACGGCGAGGGCACCGAGTCCTTCTTCTCGCGCGTGGAGGAGACGCGGCTGTTCCAGCTGCTGAGCGACAAGAAGATCGGCGTGGAGCTGCTGGGCCAGTTCGCCAACGGCCGCGCCGAGAAGCTCATCCACGGCACGACGTACACCAGCAAGCGCATGCGGCAGCCCGAGGAGTCCCGCATCATCGCCAAGCAGCTGCGCGTCTTCCACGAGCTGGACATCGACATCGACCGCAAGCCCACGTACCTCTCGAGCATCCGCAAGCTGCTAGAGGTGGCGCGCGTCAAGTGCACGGCCGACAAGTTCCAGGGCGTGCTGGACCTGAAGCAGCTGGCCAAGGACGTGGACGAGCTGGAGAAGGTCCTGGCGCAGGTACCGTCCCCCATCGTGCTGAGCCACAACGACCTGCAGTACGGCAACATCATGAAGAACGACGCGGGCGACGCCGTGCTCATCGACTTCGAGTACACGAGCTACAACCCGCGCGGCTACGACGTGGGCAACCACTTCTGCGAGTGGGCGTACGACTACCACAAGACGGTGAACGCGCACCTGGGCGACTTCTCTAAGTACCCGACGAAGGAGCAGCAGCGCAACTTCTGCCGCGCGTACCTGGCGGGCAAGGACGGCGACGAGAGCGACGTGAGCGAGAACGAGATCGAGCAGCTGCGACTGGAGGCCAACACGTACTCGCTAGCGTCTCATATGTTCTGGTCCATTTGGGGCTACATCCAGGCGGCGCAGTCCGACATCGACTTCGACTTCCTGGCCTACGGCAAGTGCCGCTACGACGCCTTCAAGTCGCGCGTGACGCTCAAGAACTGAGGTGATACCGTATAGTGGCGGCCGATGAGTTATTGACCTGATTTTATTTGACCGCGTTCCGGTGGTGGACGCAGGTAGCGTAGGTAGGTTTCCGTAGCGCACGACTGGCAGGCAGGCGAGGCCCGAAGCAGGTTGGTGGCGACATGCAGATATATTAATTGATTTGATTGATGAATGAATGAAGCGTAGCGTATCCATACAGTACTAGCAAGCAAGCATTTGAGAGGTGTCCATTGCAGGTATCGCCTATTGGGGCGGGCCATGCGACTGAGTCCGTGGTAACGGTTTGGAGTGCCTCTTCATGTGCACCACACTGGCGTGAGCGCTCGGCCATGGCCGGCGCCTGCTTCCTGTGCATGTAGACGACGCCATGGACGACCTCACCACGTTCCTCAACAGCGTCGAGTCCACCGCGCGGAAGATCCTCAAGCAGCAGAACAAGAAGCAGCAGCAGCAGGCCGCCAGAGATCGCGTGGCGCTCGCCAAGGCGTCAACCCAGCAGCAGAATGCAGCGGAGACCAGCAGCCACACGCCCACGCGAGACGAGCTGCGCGTCGCGTACGCGTCGGGCGGCTCGCTCATCATCACGGCGCCCACGAGCAACCAGAAGCCGCCGCGCTCGCCCAGTCGGAGCGAGCACTCTAGCAGTGAAGTGGCAGACGACGGACTGCTGCCGAGACTGCCACCTCCACGCTCTCCAGTGGCCTCCGTCCCTCCTGGGAGCATCTACTCGCCGCTGCAACTGCCGGCGATCAACCGCAAGGGGAAACCCGCTCCAGGCTCGAACAACCGCTCGTCGGCGCTCAAGCTGCTCGAGTCGCCGCTGTACAAGTCGCTGACGAAGCTTCGAGCTGATCCCGGAGGCTTCGGAGTGCCCGCGGGCACTCCACCGGGTCCGAAGCTCAAGAAGGCGCTGCGTGAGGTGGACAACGTGGCGCTGCTGCTGCGCAAGATGGGCCTGCACGACCCGACAGGAGCGGGCTCTCCGGCGCACCGAGCGGACCACGCAGTGGACAAACGCATGTGCAACGCGTGCTGGGCCAAGCCCGACAAGGTCACGGGCTGCGAGCACCACCCGCGCGTGTTTCCTAAGGGCCGCAGCGCGAAAAGCATCGAAGGAGACGCGTTGGCGCTGCTGACGAGCTTGGAGCTGCAGGGACCCACTAGCTGGCTGTCGGACGACCTTTTCGTCAAGTACCGGTCTGAAAACGACCGAGAGAAGTTGTGGTTTGCGTTCGTGGAGCTCAAGAAGCAGCAGCAGGAAATCGAGGCGCGTGGGAGCGCCAATGCCAAGGAGCAGGTGAGTCTCGCGGTGATCCCCATTGTGACGCGGCACCCGATATGCGCGCTGTTCGAGACGCTGCAGAACCTCGAGAACCTGCGCACGCAGGCCGAGACTCGCAAGCGCAACCTGACCAAGACCTTCATCTTCGACGTGAACCACATCTGGCTGACCAACCTCGACCACTTCAACCAGCGTCCCACAAGGCATCGTATATTAGATCAGGCCCCAGAGGATGAACGCGAACAAGTCGACCCTGAGAGCCATTCACTAAGCGGGAGACGAGATGAACAAGCCATTCGAGAGGGATACTCGCAGATCCAGTCGATTTCCAGCACAAGGGCTCTGAAGCAAGCAGTCTCAATTGGAGGAGGGCCGTCCTACTACGGCAAAGTATCGACTAGCGGCTCCCAAGCCTCGTTGATGCATTCTGCTAGCACTCGGCGGCGGAAAACTGCGTCGAGAGGAGGAGGAGACCCCTTCCGTCCTCTGAGTTTACTCGTATGCGGCAGATGGGATCCTGAAAACCAGCCCAACGTCCTGGACCGAGTGCCCGGCGTGACGCTTGTGGGCAACAAACCCGTTCTCTGGTGGCGATACGAGCCCGACCATGAAGTTTCAAAGGAGGGCGTGCCTCCGCCCGAGTATACCAAGACGGTCGCTCTGTTTGCTCGAAACAGCGTGCTGTCCTCGTCAAATTCCATCCTCGTGATGCTTGTATTGGCGCTAGATGCGCCGATACTGTCGCCTTTGTGGTTTGCGTGGCACGTTGGCTCCAAGATGCCGCCGCCGGAGCTCGAAGCCGCGATCTACACACTCGCAGAGTCCGAAACGAACTTCGGTCGGGTCATGGCCTTCGTGTCGCCCTGTTTGAGAAGTCTGTTAAGTACTCGGCTGGAGTCAATACTTGACGACCTGCTGCCTGGAACTATAGCGCTGCTCAACGACGCTGCGCAGGAAGAAGATCACTGGTTACAGCTAACGGAGCTGCCGTCTGCACCTGTCGGACATCGTCGAGGCTGGAGTGAGTTCACGGATAGACACAACTTCCGACAGTGGTTTCTGCTCACTCAAGGACGAACCATGTCCCCGCGCTACGATGTGGTAGCGCAATACTGCAGCGTCACCACGGCCCATCCAAATGCTCCTGGAGTCTGTGGCCGATACTGTTGGCATGAGACCGACCCGGTCGAGATGCAGTTGTGTCGACGTCGTGTGGAAAAGGACCTGATCTACGTGATCCAGAACCACTTGACCAGCGGGCCGAACGATCCGACCTACTTCAGCGTGGCCATGAGCCACGAGATCATGGTGGACGTGCTGGGCGCCCGGTTGTCAAGCTACTTGGCCATGGTCGCAGAGCGTGAGGCGCGAGCCGCGTACGAGAAGAAGCTCTACGAGATCGAGCAGAAGCTCGAAGCGGGTCGCCTAGCGCTCGAAGCCAAGCGACAAGAGCAGAAGAGGTTGGAGCAAGAACTCGAAGCTGCGGCAGCTCAAGCCGAGGCTCGGAGTAAAGGCGGGATAAACCGCGCAACGGAAGAAGCGTTGGAGCAGGAATGGGCCCATCGACTGGCGGGGTCCACCGTCTTAGAGCAGCAAGGCTTCTGGGAGATGCGAGAGATCACGGTAGACGACAGCGGCGTCGTGTTCTACCACTCCCTCAATTCGGGGCTGCCCGTGGCTCGACGATTTTTGTGGGAACCACCAGAGGAATGGGAGAAGAGCGACGACAAGGACGACGGCGAGGTCTCCAGGCCACCGACGACGACTCGAAGCACCTTTTCCGCAGCGTCCAAGTTCTCCGCAGGGAGTTCGGCCGTCTCCTCCATCACTGCAAAGCAACGAGCGAATACGGAGGCTCAAGCCGCGCTGATGCAAGCCTTACTTGAAGACGAGCAGTTCTTGCAGCAGTTGAAGACGAAACTGGGCTTGTCGTCACGCTCTCGACCGACGTCTCGAGCCACAGTCCGCACTGGTAGGCGAAGTCTCATCTTCGAGGACGAAGAAGTGGATGAAAACTACGCCCGACAAGTAGATCTGAACGACGAGATGGCGGCCCTGATGGGGGAAGGCATGGACCGATCCAAGTCGGCGCTGGTGGCCGCTAAGATGGCGAAACTTCAGCTTCAACTAGTGCAGCCGGCCAAAGCGAAAGGCGCTCAGCCTGTCAATCGCCGCGGCGAAGGCTGGAAGCGGCTCAAGACCTCACGTTTGCCACCAAACTTCGCTCGGAGCGTCTACAAGGCGCACACGGAGGGCCCTCGCTCGAGCTTCATCAACCAGACGAACCACGCCACACCCGTCGGCATGCTGGACCCCGCCGATTGCTCCCCGTACGAGCCACCCGAGTTTATTCCCGAGTTGCGCGCGCACTTCGTGCCACGTCCAGCAGAGGACCTGCAGGAGAAGAAGATGCAGTGGGCCGAGTTCCTACGCGCACAGAAGGCGGCCGGCACTCCCAGCGCTGTCATCCGACGCGGGGCTGTGGCCAAGAACGAGAGTGAAGTGGCCGACGACATGTTCGAGCCCGATCCGAGTCAGCAGAGCGAGACCAAGGAGCAGCGCGAGGCCCCCGCTCTACTCTGTGCCCGCAACAACAACCTCGAAGGCGTACGCTGTCTGCTCCTTCGTCTTCAACTTGTGATCCATGCTTGGCCTCACCTGTGTCTTTGAACTTGTGTGCGTGCATTACCTTAGCTCGAGCTGGCGCTGGACCAGGGCGTGGACGTGAACATGCGTGACAACCATGGCAACACGCTGTTCATCCTCGTGTGCCAGCAGGGCAACAAGCGTCTGGCCAAGTTCCTGCTGCGCCGTCGCGCCGACATGAACCTGCAGAACCTCAACGGCAACACGGCGCTGCACTACCTATACGCGTACAAGCACAAGGAGCTGGCCGAATACCTCAAGGCCAAGGGCGCCGTGGACACGACGCAGAACGCCGCCGGGCTCACGTGCTACGAAGGTCTCAGCCAGACCGACGTCGACAGCATTTAAGTGCGCAAAACTGTAGACGTATAATGGGATAATTTTTTGAGCGCGTCAAGCAGCATGTATGGGCAGCATCGCATTTCAACTTCAGCTCATGAATACGTTTCGATCTGCTGATAGATAGGTCGAGGAAAAAATCTTCAAAATAAATGCTTAACAAAAAAAGACTACAGTATGAGCGCTTTCGAGTTATTTATGTATGTTTTAGCATTGTGCAAATTCTTAAGACGAAAACTTCAGTTTAGGATTAATTGGGGACCATTTGCTTGAACGAGCGCTTGATCATCCTAGATCATCTTTTTTGTACATTTTTTAAATTTTAAACTTTTCATGCAAATAATGTTGTTGAATACCCACTTCAAAGCTCCCAGGCTCTTTAATCAACCGAAGCCTCTACAACCACGATCATTTGAGACCGCGTCAAACGAAATGATGCTTACGAACCTAAGTACGAATCGCGATTTAACCGCATAAATCGAAAGAACTGTGTCTTGTGCTTCTTTTAAGCTATTGAGCACTTGAAAATGTTGAGAACTCGAGGAATGACACTGGTCTGAAAAATATCTCCTTTTTCGGACCCCCGAGATCCCGGATTTTAAATGGGGCGTGTGACCTCAATTTTTCTCCGATTTTTTGTGCTGTACATTATTGGAAAGCTCGTGCTAAAAGCAAGTGAAGTGGAGTGTTTTCAGCTTTCTACGCGTGATTTGCACCTTACAATTTCTGATGTCCGGTTAGGTACGAAATTTGATTGGTCAACTTCAAACGCGACTATCTCGAAAACTCCAAATGGTTCGTAAGCATCATTTTGTTTGACGCGGTCTCAAATTTTGATACAACGCATGTACTCGACTGGTTTGCGGGCTTTGGCCCGCGGTGTTCGCAGTTCGGTCTTTTTTTTACTGTATTCCAAAACCTGCACGGTAGAAAAACTTTATTTACTACTGGTAGTACTATGTAGTAGCGCTACGCTTGCCGTAGAAGAGCGCTGCATGAAGAAGTTCTTGACTTTTAGCACATGCTCTTATTTTTGTACTGCGAAGTATCATGCGTCCATTTGCTGGGTCGCTTACGCTGGTCGATCTACCGTGGTGGATCTACATGAACTCACACTACTGCTACATATATTCATGCTGCATACTGCACAGCTTCAAGCTGCCAGACTGAACTTCGGTTCATGTTGAATATATAATGTGTTTTTTCTGGAGTTATATGTCCAGTTGTGACGTCTGCAACTTGATTTTGTAGAATTGCTATACTGACTTCCATGTCGTTTGGCTCTCCTCACTAGTCGACTCGCAACAAACACTCTGCGCCCACTAGCATTAATCAATAGCGATAACTTTGTTTTACTCAACGTCGGTTTATTGTTGTAGATATTGTATCTTAGAAATGACAGCCACATGTCTAAACTAACTTAGCCGATACGACGGCGACTCTGCTCGCTTGCTGCCCCGATACGGTCGATTCCTCACAGATTACATTGATTGACTGATCACCCCTCTTTATTATCGCTGCGCCTGGTTAGTTTATCGCCAAAAACATGCTCTGAGCTCGTTTGCGCTGCTATGCTGTAATATAACTGCTGTACAACTGTCATTGCTGTTGTTTCAAATAGCTCTTTAACCGATAGTGCAACATAAAACCTTATGTTGCATTATCTCAAACATCCGCAGAGCGCAAACGACAGTTCTTACGAACTGCGAATTGTTCTACAGTACTTAGTGCATTGAAATTGGGTAAGTAAAATTCAATACGGTACATGCAATGCAATGATTTACGTGTTCACGTAGCCAAATTACACTTGCACTAGTCTCACTTTAGCTAGTCGGCGGCATAGTGTGGTGTCCGCATACGTCGAGTCTTCTTTGGTGGGCAACGAATCAGCAATAGTAGTCATGAGGGCCTTCCATTGGCGTCGGTCTTGAGCAGTTCAGTACGGTACATAAGAACCCAGAACGCCATACACTGCACTCTGTAAACGCATCAATGTTTTCTGTGGATGGCAACATGTATCCATTTCGATCTATTGATGACCAAGATCGAGGGATCGAACTTCCAATGGTGCTCGCACCTCGCTCGTTTGACCGCCAACCAGCCCAAGACGGCGCCGTCGCCAAGCCAAGAGCGGTGGGTATGGGCAGTCATTGAAGATACACCATATGGCGATCCAAATAACAGCAAAGGAAATATTGCTCAAAAGGCAAAATGCCCAAGACTCACGAGGAAGCCGAGAATGCCGCTGCGGAGGCTGCCCGTACTGCAGTAGGCGACGGCGACTATATGCAGGGGTGGATTGATCGGATGGACATGCTGTTGGGCGTCACGCCCGAGAGTGCTGCCGCGGACGCTGCCGAATGTGCGACTGAAGAGCAGCGCGAAGCCGCGGAGCTGGCGTGGCTTGCTAGCACGGAGTACGTTGAGAGTGCTGTTGCTAGACGTGCTGCTGGAAGGGCAAGCGTGGATGATGAAGAAGTGATGTACGAGGCGACGCACACAATGACGAAGGAGATGATTGCGCAAGAAGCTTTCGCTGAGGCTGGCCAAGGTAACAAGCCAGAGGAATGCAACCAGAATGTCGAGCTTCGCGAGTTGGTGGCGCGTCGTGTCCAAGATAAACAAGAATTCGATTCGCACGTGGCGACGCTGCGCGACGAAATTACCCTATCAAGGAGCAGCATGCAACCGAGGTCAGGGCGATCAAGAAACAACAGGCGGCCGAAGTCATGGGGATCAACCAAGAGCATGCTGCCGAAAACAAAAGGCTCGCTGATGAGATTCATGAAGCGAACAAGTTGTTGCGGTGCATGAGCCGACTTCAGAGCGACAACAGAGACGGCGGTGAAGTTTCCTGGCCACCGACTACGACTCGAAGCACATTTTCCGCAGCGCCCAAGTTCTCAGTAGCGAGTTCGGTCTCCTCCATCACTGCAAAGCAACGAGCAAATTCGGAGCTCAAGCCACACTGATGCAAGCCCTACTTGAAGATGAACAATTCTTGCGGCAGTTGAAGACTAAGCTCGGCTTGTCGTCAACGTCTCGACCGACAGTCCGCGCCGGTAAGCGAAGTCTCATCTTCGAGGACGAAGAAGTGGATGAAAACGACGCCCGGCAAGTTGATCTGAATGACGAGATCGCGGCTGTGATGGGGGAAGGCATGGTCGCTGAGATGGCGAGCTCTAGCTTCAACTGCTGCAGCAGGCCAGAGCGAAAGCCGCCCAGCATGCCCATCGCCGTCGCTGTGGCCAATGCTGGAAGCGGCTCAACCAAAAAAAAATTCTTGGAGCGCGTACAAGGCGCACACGGAGGGCCCTCGCTCGAGCTTCATCAACCAGGCCAGCCAAGCCACACCCGTCGGCATGCTGGACCCCGCCGATTGCTCCCCGTACGAGCCACCCGAGTTTATTCCCGAGTTGCGCGCGCACTTCGTGCCACGTCCAGCAGAGGACCTGCAGGAGAAGAAGATGCAGTGGGCCGAGTTCCTACGCGCACAGAAGGCGGCCGGCACTCCCAGCGCTGTCATCCAACGCGGGGCTGTGGCCAAGAACGAGAGTGAAGTGGCCGACGACATGTTCGAGCCCGATCCGAGTCAGCAGAGCGAGACCAAGGAGCAGCGCGAGGCCCCCGCTCTACTCTGTGCCCGCAACAACAACCTCGAAGGCGTACGCTGTCTGCTCCTTCGTCTTCAACTTGTGATCCATGCTTGGTTCTGCGCGTGCATTACCATAGCTCGAGCTGGCGCTGGACCGGGGCGTGGACGTGAACATGCGTGACAACCACGGCAACACGCTGTTCATCCTCGTGTGCCAGCAGGGCAACAAGCGTCCCAGACCGACGATAAAGTTTTGAGCGCGTCAAGCAGCAATGCCATGGCAAGCCTCCGGCAGCATCACACTTCAACTTCAACTCCGCCTCTACATGGATACATACATTTCAATCCTATTGATGACCCAAGAGCGAGGACTGTCGATGCTGCCAGATCGAACTGCCGAAGTGGCGCTCGCGCCTCGCTCATTCTCTGATTTGACCGCCATGGCCAGGACGACGCAGACGCCGCCGCCGACGCCAACAAGCCAAGTCGACGACCCCCGTACTCGCCCGCGACCGCGTCGTCGCCGCCGTGTGCCCACTGAGGACGCAACTATTAGTTGAAGAAACTCCGGACTCGACCCTTGTTGACTGCCATGATGCTCTTCACAACAAGCACAAAGGCAGAGGAACTCTAAACAAACAAAATAGGGATGAATTTTTGATCGAGACGAGCAGCAATTCCAAACGACATTGCACTGTCCTGAGGGAGGGATATGGAAAACCTAGTACATGTCGCCCTCGAAAAGCACCTCGTCGTCCTTTTTGCGGTAGATCTGGTCGCCCTCGTGGAGCGAGACGTCGAGGCTGGCCGGGCCGATGGGGCGCTGCAGCGCCACGGGCTGCTTGTCGGCCGTCGTGAGCGGCGTCATGATCTCCTCGTAGTCGTCCGTGGCCTCCTGCTCGCGCATCAGAGCCGTCTGGCGAGCGCGTTCGCGCACCTTGGCGCCGAAGTGGATGAGGCACATGAGCAGCGCCACGCCGCCGATGACGATGCCCGTGATGGCGGCGCCGCTGAGCGTCGTGGTCTTGACCGGCGTCTTGGTGTACGTCTCGTAGGTCGTGTCCCAGTCCGAGGCCAGGCCCGTGCGGGACGTGCAGCACTCGAGGTGCTCCTCCCAGACTGCGTTCGTGATGACGCAGCGGCCGGCCAGGCCCTCGCACTTCTCGGCCAGGTTCTTCCACGTGTACGTCTTGGTCTTGGAGTACTCGAGCATGCTCGTGAGGCAGCCGCTGAGCACCATGGGCGTGCCTTCCGGGTCGCCGTAGCAGCCGTGCTGGATCATCTTGGAGCCCTTGATGCTCCTGGTGTTGCTCGTGTAGCGGATGTCCTGCTTGCCCACGGCCCAGAAGCTCTCACAGTCGGTCGAGGCGAAGAGGATGGCGGTCATGCTGTCGCTCAGCGGCTTGAGTGCGTTGTTGATGCGCCACTCGAGCGTGGGGCCGAAGAGGAAGCCGCAGTTCTCGGCTGTCGAGGGGCTGGCCTCGCTCGAGCACGAGGGCTGCGTCGTGGCCGACGACGCGTAGCAGCAGCCGTTGCTCTTGACCTGCGTGTAGATGGAGGGCAGCGACGCTGTCTGCGTCGTGTTGCTCGAGTTGATGGTGGTGCCGTCGTAGCTCTCCGTGGGGGCGATGCACGTGTACGGGCACGTCACGCAGCCGCCGTTCGAGTCGTAGTTGCTCCAGTCGTCCGTGTTGATCTCGATCACGTAGCCCGCCGACTGGTTAAAGTAGTTTTTGGCCTGCGCGGCCTGCGCCAGCAGCAGCAGCGCCAGCGCGCAGCGGCGGAGTCCTGCTACGGCCATGGTGTGTGTGGGGGGGGGGGCGGCGTATACGCTTAGCTGTGTCGAGGGGGTAAGAGACGCCGAACTATGGACCACCGCCGCGATAGACTGCTCGGAGGAGGTGGTGAGCTCTGTGACCTCGCCTTGCGACTGCGCCAAGAGAAAAATACAGAGTGGGGGACGGCCTGCGTTGGGCGGCGGTTGCATCAAAACCGAAGCGGCCAGGCGGCCTGTAAATTACCGATAGATTGCGAGTCAGTTCGGGCCAGATGGCCAGCGACGGTTCACCCATTGATGCGATCGTCACGGCGAAAAATTTCGGAAACCACCCGCCGCCCGAGCCAAAATGTGCCTGCTGCCCGTCTTGGTGAAGCTGCGTGAAGAGCTGCCGCCGCGTCTTGGTGTGCCCGCGGCATCGTCGCATTTATTATCTCGCAGCGAGGGCGGCTCCGGCAGCTCTGCGCGTGTAGCTCCGCGGCTATCAGCGCGGTGCAGAGCGTGCCGGTGCAGACTGGCCGGCAGCTGAGGGATTTGGCGGCCGAGCGCAGATGGAGTGTGGATTTTTCCGCTTGGCAATATTTGGGCACCGAGATGGAGGTGCCACGGCGGCGATGCCCATCAGCGCGGCCTGAATTCTGCGGCGCCACGACTCGAGAGCAGCGCAAGACGTGGCGGCGGCGGTGCCGCCCCGCCGAAATTGGCTGGCTGCGCTCAGCGCTGTGGAGGCTCCAGCGTTCGGCGCTGCAGGTTGAAGTGCTCTCGTCGGCTCGTGGGCTCGTTGGCTCGCGTCCGGCGCTCGACGGCACGGCTGTCTCGACGAGACGAGAGCTGTCGCGTGCGAACACCGGGGGGCAGCAGGACAGCAGGACAGCAGGACAGCGTTGAACCAGATGCGGATAAGCTCGTCGGGCCGGCAGGACGGCTGTGAGATCACACTTGTCATATGGGTGCGGGCAAGTGTATTCGTGGCGCTGGCCTCACGGACCCCTTGGTCATGGCGGTGGTAGCGGATGCCAGTGAGTCTTATTGCGCCGGCCGCCTCGTGCGTGCGTGCATGCGGATCCAGTCTCTTCCGCTGCCCTGCTGCGCTAGTCGTGTTGTCGCGGTAATGGCGGCCGCGGTGACAGGCCTGCAATGCTGGCGGGGAAAGCCTGGTGATGCAATGCCGCCGAGATGTACATATCCGCGGCTCCGCTTGCAGCCGCACATGCGCTGCGTCCCCACCTAACGGCGGGAGGTTTCATCCTTGGTGGACTTCCTGCATACAGGCAGGCAGGCAGGCAAAATGCGTAGCCATCATCGCACACACGCCACTTCCTGCAGATGCAATGCAATGGGCTGTGCCACAGCAAGCTGCGAAGATGGCTCGCTGAAACTCCTCGCGATCCCCTGAGTCGTGAGGAGCCAGTTGGGGCCCGTCTCTGCCCAGAGCCTTTTTTCGGTTATGGATTCTGGGGTAATTTATCGGTAATTTATCGCCTCGAGCGCACGCCAGGAAAACGGCCGGGGCAACCCCCAGAGAAAACACCCAGCCAGCGAAGCGCGCTCTCTGAGCCCTCATTTCTGGTTTTGTGTTCACTCGGCAGCAGACCAAAGCGCGCCTCCGTTAGCCTCTCGACTCGACACATCCCTCGAGTTGACCGACTGAGCGGCGCCTTACCCCCCTCTAGTGTCGGACGGACCCAAGACAGAAGACACTCCCCCCACCCAAGCACTACACAGCGAGCGAGCGACTGTAGCAGTGGGCTCAAAGCAGCATGGGGCTCACCGGCGCGGGCATCATCGCCTCCGTCGTGGGCATCCTGGGCGGCGTGTCGCTCTCGTGCGGCGGCTGGTCGTCGCTGTCCCTCGGCGCGCGCTCCCTCTTCGTCACGACGCAGTTCCTCTCGGCCTTTGCCATGTACGTTGCCTGCCACGACGACCATCACTCCTGCTCTTCCAACTCTGTGAAGGGCGCTCAATTGGGGTGTCGTTACGTTCGCACCGGTCTATTTTTAGAACCATAACTGACTTGTGTTCTATCATGTAATATTCTACCAACAGGGGGTTCGTCGTTGCCTTCACCGCCATCTCGTCGCTGACGGACACTAACGAGTGGATCGCCGTCGCTGCCGGCGGTGGCGCGGGCTTCGTGGTCGCGCTCATCGTGGGCTTCATGACGATCTTCGGACCGTACATCCTTATCCTGGTCACGGGCGGCATCATCGCGTGCTACCTGCTGCTCATCGACGCCTACGACGGTGTGAACCTCTTCCCGGCCGACAACCAGCTGGCGCGCCAGGAGTTCGTGATCGCCTTCATGATCATCTTCGAGCTCGTGTGCTGCTCGTCCTCCAAGACGTCAGAGCTGGAGAACCACCGCTTCAAGTACATCATCTTCTCGGCCATCACTGGCGGCTGGATGGCGTCGGACGGTGTTTCCCGTCTCATTGACTCGACGGCTGTGCTCTCGGACGTGGGCTTCACCTCGATCCAGGATGGCGGCTCGGCCGCGCTCAAGGGCATCGACGGCAGCGCGCAGACGCTCATGTTCCTGATCTGGGGCGCCGTCTTCGTTGTCGGCGGCCTGAACCAGCTCTCGATGCGCTGGGGACTCATGTGCTACAACCGCGTGGGCGCCCACGCCCAGCTCGGCCCCGTCGAGGAGCAGATGCCGGAGCTGCCCACGGGCGCAACGCTGCCCGCGCAGACCATGAACGAGCGTGTCCGCCTTGTGTGCGAGAACTGTTTTGCTACGGTGCCCAGCGGCACGGCCTTCTGTACCGAGTGTGGTGAGGCCATGCCCTCGGACGAAGCCGACCCGAACGTCAGCATCTCGCAGGCCCAGATGCCGTCGGTCACGATGAACAACAAGTCGCAGGTCCCCGACCGCTGGCAGCAGGTGCCGCACCGCACGTACCTCAGCACGACGTCGTTCGTCGACCCCAAGCACGCCAAGGAGGGCGGCGTGAGCATGAAGGACAACGGCCGCAGCATCCGCTTCATGGACTCGGGTGTGCAGGGCCCGGACGGCAAGATGAGCCAGTACAACGACTCCATCGCTGGCGTGCGCAACTACTACGAGCCTTCGTTCCGTTCGTTCGCCATGTCGACCTACTCGATCGCTAACCGTGCAGCTGAGCCCGTGGACACGCCCAACATCCGCAAGTACAAGATGTCTGGCAGTGGCATGTTTCACGTCTTCTACTTCGGCACGGCTGCTACGGGCGTCTTCTGGCTGTACTACTTGACTACGATGTACCCGCAGCAGTACTTCTGCGACCATGCCCGCCCGACGCTTCCCTGCAGTGCGCTGCCCAGCAGTGAAACTTCGGGCTGCTACAGTTCGACGGTCAACTTCGACGCCGACTCCGGCGAGGGTTACTGCATCCAGGACGTGCCGTTCATGTCGTGGCTCATGTACGCGATGATGATCTTCAGTGAGTTCCTCAACTACTTCCTGGGTCTGCTGTTCAACTTCAGTATGTGGCGCCCTATCCGTCGTGGTGCTCGTTACATGAACGACTTCAAGCCGCCTATCCCGAAGGAGCAGTGGCCGACGGTCGACATCTTCCTGTGTCACTACATGGAACCTGTGACGGACTCCATGGCTACGCTAAAGAACTGTCTTGCTATGCAGTACCCTCCGGAGCTGCTCCATATTTTCGTCCTTGATGATGGTTACGCCAAGTCCGTGTGGGACGCCAACAACCACTTCAAGGTTACGGTGAACACGAAGGTGATAGAGATCTGTGGTGACCTGCGTGGCGATGTCGCCCGCATCATGCACGAGCGTGTGGTCGGCCCCGTGCAGGACGACCAGTCCCTGAAGACGTGGCGTCGCCAGCACAGCTCTGTGCGTGAACTCCGCAAGGAGGGCAGCAAGGGTGTGCAGCGTCGTGACTGTGCCGTCGGCTCGCTGTCAGACGACTACGACTACCGTGACCGCGGTATCCCGCGTGTGACTTTCATTGGTCGCATGAAGCCCGAGACCCACCACTCCAAGGCCGGTAACATCAATAACGCCCTGTTCAACGAAGGCGCCGACGGCAAGTACCTGCTGATTCTGGATAACGATATGAAGCCGCACCCGAAGTTCCTGCTCGCCGTGCTGCCGTTCTTCTTCTCGGAGGGCGAGGCTGTGGACGGTGGAGGCCGCCAGTACAGTGACGACATCTCGTGGAACCAGGTGTCGTACGTGCAGACACCGCAGTACTTCGAGGACACGCCGCAGCTGACGATCATGGGTGACCCGTGTGGACACAAGAACACCATTTTCTTCGACGCTGTGCAGTGTGGCCGTGATGGTTTCGACTCGGCAGCTTTCGCCGGTACGAACGCCGTTTTCCGTCGCCAGGCTTTCGACTCGATCGGTGGCATTCAGTACGGTACCCAGACAGAAGATGCCTACACGGGTAACGTGCTGCACACTTCCGGCTGGGACTCCGTGTACTTCCGTAAGGATTTCGAGGGCGATGCCAAGGACCGCATCCGTCTGTGTGAAGGTGCCGTGCCCGAAACGGTCGCTGCCGCCATGGGTCAGAAGAAGCGTTGGGCCAAGGGTGCCGTGCAGATTCTGCTGATGAAAAATGAAAGCGAGGTGGACCCAGACTGGCGTCCGCCGCGTGTGCCTGCCCCGGACCCGAAGCCGTCGCTCGCGTTCCCGCGTAAGATGTTCTTCTACGACTCGGTGCTGTACCCGTTCGGTTCGATCCCCGCTCTGTGTTACGTGGCTATCGCTATCTACTACCTCTGCACGGGTGACGCTCCTATCTACGCTCGCGGTACCAAGTTCCTGTACTCTTTCTTGCCCGTGACGTTCTGCCGTTGGGTGCTCAACTTGCTGGCCAACCGCGCCGTCGACAACAACGATGTGTGGCGTGCCCAGCAGACGTGGTTCTCCTTCTCCTTCATCACGATGATGGCTATCGTGGAGGCCATCCAGGCGCGTGTGACGGGCAAGGACAAGTCGTGGGCCAACACGGGTGCCGGTCAGAAGACGTCGTGGACGGAAATCCCCAACGTGCTGTTCTTCTTCACGCTGCTCTTCAGTCAGTTGGTGGCGCTGATCCGATTCTTCGAGTACGAGAACGCCACGAACCCGTGGAACTACGTGTCTGCCATGTTCTTCGGCTTCTTCGTCATGAGCCAGTTCTACCCTATGGTCAAGATGAGTATCACGGAGTACTGTGGCTGGGACCACACGGCCGCGACGTTCACGGCCAACGTGTTCGGCTCGCTGCTGGTGGTGTACATTGTGGTATTCGTGCAGCTGTGGCAGGTCTACTACGAGGGCAACCTCCAGGTGTCCCAGGGCACAGCAGGTTCCACTTCGTCTTAGGCAAGCATCGGACTGTCATGAAGACCCAGGTGGCCAGTCCGGGCGGAGGAAACGGGAAGGCAGTACATGCAGAGTGCAGCACAAGCGGTAGTGTAGCTTATGTAGCGAATCAGCGGTGCGCTCGAACGCGTGCGCCCTCTTCGCTCCTTCCAAGTGACTGGACATTTTTCATCATACGTAAAATTGCTTTTTGCTTGAATCTGTTGAATTCGCTCAAGGTTGGTTGCCATGGACTTGCTCAGACAGCTAACTTTAGTTTGACGTGGCAGTGCCTTGTGTTGATTCGCGGTCTTTCGATGCCGGCCGCCGACGCTTTGAGGCTGTTGGTACTTGTGGCTTGGTTGACACGTGAAGTTCATGCAGGAGATGCTGCAAGTGCGTGGACAACCGGCCGTCGGGTGGAGCGCGTGTGCACGTTTGAAGGCTACTACTCGGTCCCCAGAGCTACCACGACGCGACCATGTCCAGGCATGATGCCCTGCCCGCCCGGTTCCTACTGCACGTACGGTCGCAACGAAGTTTATTTTCATTAGTATGCACTAACCAGCTCGTAACTTGTTGATTGATGCAGCGGTGGAGAACGTCGGCCGTGTCCCGCCGGCGTCTATGGCGCTGAGGAAGGATTGCGCACGAAGCAGTGCTCAGCTCCGTGTCCGGAGGGCTTCTACTGCCCTGAAGGAACCGCGAGACCTATCGAGTGCGGATCAGCAGACAAGTACTGCCCGCTCGGATCGACGCAGCCGATGGCAGTGCCGGAAGGCTTCCTCGCGTTAGGAGGCAAGCCGACAGATCGACGTCGAAGCAGCATCAGCCCTTGCAATCCAGGCTCGTTTTGTGTAGGAGGGTCTTCGCGATGGTGTTCTGCCGGCACATACGGGTCTGAATCAAGACTTTCGACACCACAGTGCTCCGGACGCTGCCCTGTAGGCCACTACTGCCCCAAGGCGAGCATCAAACCCACTCCGTGTCCCGCAGGCACTTACGGTGCTGCAGAAGGCCTCACGGACGCGAGCTGCTCCGGCGTATGCCCAGTTGGGTACGCTTGCCCTGAAGGCACGGGATCAGCTACAACCTGGCCATGCGACCACAGCACATTTTGCCAAGAAGGAAGCGCTGAACCGCGAGCACCACGCCCAGGAGCTCACGTCGTTGAAGTCGCGGCGACGGAGGAAGCTGCTTGTCCGCTCGGGTCGTTCTGCAGCCCGGACGAAGCTCCAGGAAGCTCCAGACTTTGTCCTGGGGGATCATTCGGCAATTCGACGCGTCTTACGAGTGCTGCCTGCTCAGGACTCTGCTCCGCTGGATTCTACTGCCCGCGAGGCAGCACGAGCGCGACGCAGCTTCCGTGCGGCAGCGTAGATGTCTTCTGCCCACTTGGCTCAGCACTGCCGACTCGAGTGTCTCCAGGATATTACACTGTCGGGGGTCTCGTGATGGCGAAAGGTTCACTAACGGTGGACGCATTGGCAGCAGAGCGCGAGACGGATCGAATGACTCGTGTGGCCCAGCGTCGCTGTGAACCTGGCCATTACTGCGCGGACGGAGAGCGCCACGCGTGCCCTGCAGGTACATTTGGGGGCAAGGCGGGTCTCACCACGCCTGAGTGCTCGGGGCCGTGCGCGGCAGGATACTATTGCCCCGAAGGAAGTATCGTCGCCCAAGCCGTGGCCTGCGCAACCAGTGCTGCCTTCTGCCCGCAAGGGTCCGCTTTGCCAACTCAAACGGAAAGAGGCTACTGCGCGGTCTCTTTGGACAATGCTGCTGGGCCGAGATGGTACGATCAGTGCAAGGCGAAACCTGGAGAGTTCGCGTGGAGAGGAACGTGTTATCCTTGTCCAGCAGGGGTGTACGGCTCGCAAGAGATGGAGACAAGACCGACGTGCTCGGGTCCCTGCGCTCCGGGATACTACTGCCCGCCAGGAAGCACGACCCCAACGCAACGCGAGTGTGGCTCTGCATCCGTCTTCTGCCCTGAAGCGTCGGGAAAACCCTGGGCTGTTTTCCAGGGCTATTACACATCGCTGCAAGTTCGCTCCATCACTTCGAATACGACGCAAGCGCCTGGCTGCGAGCCTGGCCGGTATCGGGACTATTCCACCACGGTTAACGCGTTCATGGACGTCGTCACGGGCCGCAGCCCCATTAGTGTCGACTACGGCGACTATTCCTTCCCAGTCGCCCAATGCGTGCCATGCCCAGTCAACACGTTCAAACCAGGAACTGGAGACGACTTGGAGCTCTGCCAGCCATGTCCAGAGTTCACGACCGTCAGTACATGCGATCGGCGATCGTGCACTTGCTTCCGCCAAGCTGGTGGAGAAAGCTTTGACGCTTCAGTCTTCGCCCTGTACTTCGACAAAGCGACGTTATCCTGTGATCTCGTGCCCAAGTCGCTGGTCGCGTCCATTGGCGATGGCGCTGCCAGCAACGACTCCGTGTACACGCGATCGGAGCAGTTTCCGTGTGAACGAGGCTACTTTTGCATCGATGGAGTGCGTTCCCCATGCCCCGCAGGTTACTATGGCGATGGAGGCCTCGAGACACGACCGACGTGCGCTGGGGTCTGTTCACCAGGATTCTACTGCCCTCTCGCCAGCCAAAACAGCACGGCCCGCGTCTGTGGAGATGCCAACGTCTTCTGTCCAAGCGGCAGCGCTGTCCCCACGCCCGTTTGGTCAGGCTACTACTCCGTTCGCCTTCTCCCCTTCGGAGCTGACGGCCTCTTGGTATCCGACGTTGGCTTTGAAGGCTACAGCGTGGGTTCGACAGGAGAACTGGCGCCGAAGAACGAGGATATTCGCGACGGCCAGCGGATCTGCGAGCCTGGAACTTATTGCGTCGACGGCAAGAAGTATCTGTGTCCTGCAGGTCGGTACGGCACATCCGGTGAGACGTCGCCGCTCTGCACAGGCTTGTGCACGCGAGGATATTACTGTCCCAAAGGCAGCACGTCTCCAACAGAGCGCGAGTGCGGCGCAGACGGATTGATCTGTCGGACCGGATCGCCCGAGCCGCAGCCCATCCAGGTGGGCTACTACTCCATCGGCGTCACCAACACCACCCGATTCTTCCAGACACCGTGTGAGCCTGGGTACTTCTGCATCGATGGCATCAAGTACCAGTGCCCTGCCGGCACATACGGCGCTACCAGTGGCCTCAGCACAGCCGCGTGCTCTGGGCTGTGCGCTCCAGGATTCTATTGCCCGTCGTACCCGAATCCGCCGAGTATCTCGCGCACGCAGAACGAATGCGGCAACAGCTCTGTCTATTGTCCGGAAGGCACAGGCAACGAGCCCGAGTTCGTGAAGAGCGGATACTACAGCGTCCTGACCACTGGAATGGCCGACGATGGTCGCAACGCCACTCAAAACGACGTGAAGATCTGTCCGAAAGGCTTCTACTGCCGTCAGGGAATCCGCATTCGCTGTCCTGAAGGAACCTACGGCGACGTCGAAGGCCTCAGCGCAGTGTCCTGCAGTGGCTGGTGTCCTGCAGGCTACTACTGCCCGTTCGCCACGATTGACTACCGCTTGAACCCCTGTCTTCCAGGAACGTACGCGACGAAAGGAGCTGCAGTCTGCATGCCGTGTCCAGCCAGCTCGCAGAGTCGAGCGTCGGTGCTCAAGACGTTCCAGCTACTGCCGCCAGAACAGGCCGAGAAGCCGCCATGCACCACACACCGCGAATGCTGCTTCTTCGGCTGAAGGAAATATGAGGAATGCAACTCGTTTCCCATGAAGCTCACTCTACTTGTGTTGTTATACTTCACGCTGTCAGATGCAGCGTCTCCAGGACGCGGGACGTCATCGCTGGCCGCAAGACGGGAGGCAAGGTCCGAGGTGAAATCCTGTTGAACGGCCATCCCGCTACCGACTTGACGATTCGTCGCGCCTCCGGGTACTGCGAGCAAACGGACATCCACTGCGAGTCCTCGACGTTCCGCGAAGCTCTCACCTCCAGTGCGTTCCTGCGTCAAGGCGCCGACATCTCCGACAGTCAGAAACTCGACTCGGCGGACGAGTGTCTTGAGCTCTTGAACCTGAGGCCGATCACCGACCAAATCATCCGCGGCAGCTCGGTGGAGCAGATGAAGCGCCTGACAATTGGCGTCGAGCTAGCGGCGCAACCTAGCCTTCTCTTCTTGGACGAGCCTACCAACGGCCTGGACGCTCGCTCCGCCAAGCTCATCATGGATGCCATTCGCAAGGTTGCTAACACGGGGCGAACGGTGGTGTGCACGATCCACCAGCCTTCGTCGGAAGTCTTCCAGGTGTTCGACAGTTTGCTGCTACTGAAGCGAGGTGGCGAGATGGTCTTCTATGGCGAATTGGGGAACCAAGCATGCGATATGGTCCGCTACTTTGAGTCCATCGACGGCGTCCAGAAGCTCGCTGAAGGTTACAACCCCGCGACGTAGATGCTGGAGGTGATTGGAGCTGGTGTTGGGAACGACAACGGCGACAAATCGCACTTCGTGGGGATCTTCAAAACGAGTCACCTCTTCAGACACCTTCAAGAGAGCATGGAGCGTGACGGCGTCTTCCGGCCGTCGCCGTCGATCCCCGCCGTAAAGTACCAGGGCAAGGCTTCTTCGGGTTCGTCAGCTTCTCTGCGGCCGCCCCCGTTGCGTCAATGGAGCGCTTTCGTTCTACCGGGAACGTGCCGCAGAGACTTACGGAGCTTTCTGGTACTTCATCGCTTTGACGCTCGTGGAGATCCCGTACGTATTCGGCAGCACGCTGCTGTTTGTAGCCATCTTCTTCCCCATGATGGGGTTCACTGGAGTGGGCACGTTCGTGGTCTATTGGCTCTACTTGTCGCTGCACGCGCTGTGGCACGCCTACTTCGGCCAGCTCATGGCGTACGCGCTGCCGACGGTGGACGTGGCGACGATTGTCGGCGTGCTAATCGTCTGTATCTTCCTGCTCTTCAGCGGCTTCAACCCTCCGGGAGACGCCATCCCTCAAGGCTTCAAGTGGATCTACGACATGAACCCGCAGAGGTACACGCTGGCAATCCTCTCGTCCCTTGCGCTCGGGAGCTGCTCGACTGGAGGTTCAGACATTGGCTGCAAGGTCCTAACCGGTGCACCGCCCACACTCCCCGACAATATGACCGTCAAGGCGTACATCGAAAGCGTGTTCAACATCAAACACAGCGAGCTCCAGACCAACATCGCCTTCGTTGTCGGCTTCATCATCGTGTACCGTTTGCTCGCGCTGCTAGCACTGCGCTTCATCAACCAGCAGTCCACGCATGCGATCATTGTTCGCCCTGTTCTCCATCTCAACAACAGCGAGGTTCACGTAAGTTCTAGGACGTTCAATACACCGGTGTGTTGCGATATTCAGCATAGCTCGACGATATCCCCCACTTGACCCATTGTGCCTCTACAATCTTGAAAATCAACGCGAATTTTGCCCGCTTTGCCAAAAGGTTTTTCGATGCTCCCAAAGTCCGCAACTCCTCCATCGCCGTAAACACAGCGTACACGACTCCCCACAGCTTCTATCGCTTCTTGCTCTGAAGTGAACATACCTGCAACAATAGCAAAAGGGTTTCTTCCGTCTGCAGCCGTCTCGCCCTTCAGTCGCTCAATACGTCCACTCCGGGTGGCAACCCCTGGGATGGTAGTCGCTCCTTCTTCCTCGCTAACAGGCGCTTCCACAATAGATAAATGGGGAGTCTCTGTCGTCACGGTCTCAACACCCGACTTCTTCGCTGTCGTTGTTGGTTGTGGCGCGAAAGCTTCAGGGTAAAGCAGGCGCTTGTCCTGCAGAAATGGTCGTGCGTTATCCTTCGCAGCGGTCTTAGGCTTGGTATTGGATGCAGCCATCTTTCCTTGCGCTACTTGTCCTTTCGACTTGGGGGGCTTCAGCGTCGTCAGCTTAAGAAAGCGCAGTGCAAACCTCTCTCCAGGCACAGGCAGCGATCGATGCAGCGTACTTGCATCTAACGCTATGCGGAACTTGCCAGCCTTACCGAAGGGCCCGAGAATCGAACCCAGCACTCGCGCCTGCTCGAACAGTACGATCGTGTCCTGATACACACTCCACTTCACATCCTTCGAGAACATGTCACGGCCGATGACTTCCCTTACATCGCCACTGTTGCCACCCTTTGGAGTCACCAGTTTGACCACGAAACCCTCTCGACTTTTGATTCGGCCGATCTGCAGCGTGGACAGATCCGCCACAGACCGGTGCACAGCTGCCAGTGCACTTAACTCTTCAGCATTCGAGCCAACAACGCTTCTCACAGCGCCGTAGAACGCCAACCGACACGTGAATCGCTTCGCATCCAGATCCAGACGCGAGCACACCACCAGAGCGTTGGGAGGACAGAAGACAGCGTGCTCGAACTGGAGCAGCGCAAACACTGACCCCTCACTCCTGCTGCTTCCACCTCCGTTATCAGCTCGATCAAAGTCGAGCTCCGCCACGTACTCATACAATCCCGACGGGTCAAACTCTGCATCTTCCCCCTCGCTCGCCTCTCTTGAGTCCCCCAATCTCGAGAAGAACGTGGTTGTTGCAATCACGGTAGTGTGCCCCACTGTAGCATGGCACTTGCCTCCACTCTTACACGCCGCGCCTCGGAATAACGGCACGCGCGTGACTGGAATCACCACCTGCGTCACCGGAGCCAAGCTGCCAGGGGGCGACACTGCCAGCGCTCTCTCAATGAGGCTCGGGTCGAGTCCGTTCACCCGAACTCCGACTCGATCCCCCTGCGCACACCTGTCCACCTCCTGCTTGAACACCTGCAGCGTCTTGACCTTGGCCTTTACTCCAATTGGCAGCAACTCCAGCTCGTCACCCTTCGTTAAAGCTCCAGACAACACGGTGCCAGTGAGCACGGTGCCGTTTCCAGGCACGGCGAAGCAGTGGTCCACTGCAAGGCGGAAATCTCCGGTTGCGTCTCGATCTGGAGGCTGCAAGTTGGTCCCCAGCACCCCCAGAAGCTCCTGAACCCCTTGAGGCTCTTGATCAGCCCCCACAGCCACAGAAACGACTGGAACAGCTTCAGCTTCGACTTGCAGGTATGTAGCCAAAAACGCCCGTATCTCGGCAGTCACTGCATCAATTGTAGCCATTTTTTCAGAGTCGACGCTTGACAGCAGGTCTATCTTGGTGAGTGCCACCACCACGCGCTTTTTCGCTGCTAACGCTGCCAGCAACAGACTCTCGATAGTCTGAGGCTGCATCCCTTTGCGGCAGTCCACCACCAAGAGCACGGCGTCAATGATGGCTACACCTCCCAAGATTGTACGAAATAAGGACGCGTGCCCCGGGCAGTCCACCAGCGTGACCTGGAGAGATGGCTGCGTATACATCAGGACGAAGCTGGAGAAGCCCAAGTCCAGCGTGATGCCGCGCTGCTGGCTCTGCGGGTGCTTGTCCAGCGCCGCCGTGGACAGCTGCGTGCTCAGCGCGCGCACGAGGCTCGTCTTGCCGCTGTCCACGTGCCCCAGCACGCCCACGTTCACGTTGAGCAGCATGGCTACGCCTACGGCTACGGATCCGATCGTTGTTGACACGGAGTGCCGAAATACTGGTACATCGTACCATACGAATGGTACAACTAAGGAGTGATGGTCGGCAGTTGTTGAAGTTTTTGCGTATGTAGCCATTTGCAGCAATGCGCGGCGAGCAGGCGGTCGGGAGCCGCGTGCGGGTGTACTGGGAGGGTGAGGACGAGTGGTTCGAGGGCGTCGTGGACGCGTTCTCGCCCGAGCGAGGCTACTACGTCAAGTACGACGACGGCGAGGAGCAGTGGGAGCTGGACGCCGGCGAACACGCCATCCGTTTCCTGTCAGACTCGGAAGACGCTCAAGCTGGCGAGTCACAAGCGGACCAAGCGGATAACAACAATGACGACGCGCCTGTTGCAGACGACTATGGAGACGGCGAAGAGGAGTACGAAGAGGACGGCTACGACCATGTCGAGCAAACTGAGGAGAAGGAGGAGGAAGAGGATGTAGCCATGAGCCCGACTCCTGAGCAAGTAGACCCGCCGGTGCAGCCGCCGAAGCAGCAGAGACCCATCAAACCCGCGCGAACGTTCATGCGCTCTTCCGCCGCCTTCTTCCGTGACGAGGACACACTGCGAGAGATGCGGCAGGAGCTTCGCCAGGAGAAGAAGACGCTCACGCACCAGCTGCAGACGCTGACGATGCAACTCGCCGAGAAGGAGCAGGTGTCTGCAGCGATCAAGAGCGAGCTGCAGCAGCTGAAGACGAGTGCGGCGCTGGCCAGCGTCATACGCCAAGTGCCGCGTTCAGCGATGCTCAGTGCGAGCTCCAGCGGTCTTCCGAAGCCCAAGACGGCGGCGCAGTGGGGCGAGCGCGTGCTCGACCAAAAGCTGGAGAACCAGTGTCTAGCTGAGGATCTGCTCGTGTTGAAGATGGCAGTGCAGGACAAGCAGCTCTCGCTCCAGCGCAAGCAGAAACGACGAGACGAGATGAGTGCGAAGCTGACTCGCGTGCCTCGCCGCCATCTCCTCACGCTCGTGGACGTTCAGGTGGAGATTGCGCGGCTTCTAGAGGAGAAGCGTGCGCTGGAGTCTCAGTCTCCACGCTCTTCTTTGCGTGTTGAGAAGGAGCTAGTGACGACCAGCAGGACTGGTGCTAATGCAGCTTCAGCTACGAAGACGGTGCTTCAGAGCGAGTTGACCAGTCTAGAGATCACTGCTGAGCGCTACAAGGAGGAACTCCGTCAGTGGGGGCTTAGAATCGACTGCGAGAAGGCGCGACTGGCGCCGCTGGAGAAACGACTGGTCGCTTTGCAGCAGGAGTTGAAGAGGTATGAAGATTCGCAGGTGTTGCTGCGCAGCGTCTTCTTGCGGTTGGGTCCTGATTCGAGGGATGGCTGTGTGGCGCTGGATGCGGCTTTGACTGCGTTCCAGACGCTCGCTCCGCTGGACCAACCGCCTGTCGCTTATGAGGATATGGCTGCGCGGTTGCAGGACAGCAAGATTCTTTCGGCAGACGGCATGAACGAGCAGCGAGTTTCATTTACACAATTCACGCAAGCGTTTGAATGCTTGTTCAAGTCGTGAGGGCTGTATCAGGATTCGAGAGTTATCACAAGTATAGGGACAATCAAAGAGTTAATTCAAGCAAGACATATCAAAACCCGACTCGGGCGTATTCCAGGATTGCGTACAAGTCGATGGGAATTCGAGCAGGAATTGGTGGCTGGGTGGGCAACCGCACACGCGGGGCCAAGCCCAGCAGCAGACGCGAATCCAGCGTCACGATTGTGTGAGGCTGTAGGATGGGGATGGGGTCCTGGCGAGGGAGGTGTCGGCCCCGATGCAGCACCCCGTGCAGCTTGTAGTTGACCCCGGGGATTGCAGCCCACTGATCTGCCTTCCAATCCAGTTGACCAGGGCGAAGGCCCCAGCCACGAGTGTACCCGATTTCTACCCTGAGAGTGTGCCATTCTCGCCAGCGCAACCCGCGCGGTAGAATAGCCCCCGATTGAGGAGTCGGGGGGAAGCTTAGATCAGCTTCCAGGTGTGGAGGAGAAGTACATGGCGTGCACACTGCGGGAGGGGGTCGCATGTACGTGTCGATCGCTTCGCTCGATTGGAATCAAGTGGAGCAAACCCCGCGAGGCGAGGTCTACGAAGTCTGTGACGCTGACGAGGAGGGCTGGGCTTTGTTCATGGAGAGTGAGGCGCCGGAGACCAAGTGTGGCAAAATGGAGTGGATCGACGGCAGAATCGCGATCGTGGAGTTCCCTTCGCGCGAGCGTGGGGATCTCGTCGGCGCGTTCGTAAGATGCGTGACGCAGAATATTTCCCTTGACGCGTACCTTCATCCGAGTGTCGGGGGCAGCACACCGCGACATCTTCCTTATCATGAAGCTGATCTCAGCTACGGTCCGACCTCCCAAGGCGGAGGTACTCTACCGCCGGGGATCCAATGGCGAGACTGGGACACTCTCAAACTTGAAATCGGGTACTCCCGTGGCTGGGGCCACGGCCCTGGTCAGCTCGATTGGAAGGCAAACCAATGGGCGAAGGTCCCAGGCGTCAACTACATTCTCTGTGTGTCAATCTCGCAGGCGCCACGTACAAACTCTACATGGTGCTGCATCGCGACGGGCATCTGCCTCTCGATGTCTCAACACGCGTTGAAGCTCCTCACACAGTCGTGAAACTCAATTCGCGTCTGCTGTTAGGCCTGGCCCCTCGCGCGCGACTGCCTCGTCAGCCCCCAGTTCCTGTTGGTCTTTTCATCGACTTGTACGAGATCCTGGAACTCACCCGGGCGCGGTTTTGACATGCGCTCGGAGGCATCTCAGAACGATTGAGTAGCTAGTTTTGGCTCGGGGTTGTTCGCCAGGACGCCCATAGGTGGTTAACCTTACTTCGCTCTTGTCTACGAGAGAGCAATAGTAAACCGGACGCGAGTAGAATACTAAACGGTTAAAAGTTGGTTGTATTTCGAGAGATAGGTGTAGTATGTGTAGCGGTCGGCATGGAATTGTATCTTGTCTTTATTACTTTTGGTGGAGGCTATGGGCTGGTGTCGTGGGATATCAGCGAGTTGAATAAGGGTTTGACGTCATACTATGCTCAGCACAGTCAGACGATGTCGGCAACTTTCGAATCGTCATTCTCCCAGACTTCAGCAACACGCCACCACGATGAAACACGCAACAGATATACAAAGTGCAATGAATATGTATACAGACCGAGTACTGTACTACCATACAGCGTTGAGGACGAATGGAAAATTGAAACTGAGGCTTTTGCTCCGCGAACCGGAAATCCGCACCGTGGCACCGTGGTTCTCCGAGCGACAAAGACCAACGATGCCAGTATTGTCTCATATCATTTCGCCCCAGTACTGAAGCTCTTCTCATTTGTCGTTGAAGCGATTGCGTCCCCAATAATCACTCGTTGAGGTATAATCTCGACCCGAATAATCATGGCCATGCTCTGACCGCAGGGAACATTCCGCACGGGGCAGCATGGTTGAGCGACTTCGTTTTTTATTTTAATAGGGTTTGCCACTCCATTTTTATGGAGTGGCAAACCCAAAGAACGTTCGTGGGAGTATCTGTGCGGATTAAGAGTGCTGACAACGTTGAAGTGTGTGGAAATGAAAAAAAAAGATTATTCGGACTCTGCATTACGCGATGCTGGCGGTGGTGTTTGTTAAATCTCTGCTTTTGTAAGCCTGATGGGGATTTGATCAAATTATTTTTGAAAGTCGAAAGCAGAAGCAAGGCAATAGAAGTTTACATGAGTTCCGTGCAACTTTGAATAAGTTGTCTACAGTTCGTACACGAATATGCGTGGAACTTTTTGCCGCCGTGCCTCTTTAAGTTAAGGAGTAGTCTCGCGCTGATATGCAGATGTGAAGAAACTTCACGGGAGTAGATAACTGCATCTCTTGGCCTTACATGTACACGTACAGGTAAATGAACCCTAGTAGTTTGCAACTTTGGTAAACTGTTCGCCTTTTATTACACAAGGCAGACGGGTGTGCAACTTTCGTAACAAGTATTATAATGTGGCACGCATTGTTCATTTTTTTCGATGAAGTTAATCAACTAGAATGCCGCAGATAAAGTTTGTCAAACTTGAAGTGCTGTGAACGTTCAGCCTCTGAACGTTTGCGAACGTCCTATTTACTGAACTCCAGGCGGTTTGGCTCTACGGAGGTCGTAAAGCGGTAG